GGGGTTAAACATGCCTGAAGGCGCCAACCCTCACCTAGCCTGGAACAGTGATGTAACGATACAACACAAAAATAAACTATGCAAAAATATGAACGAAAAACAAATAGATTGATTGCTAAAATTCCAGTGACGATATCTATTTTTACAAATACTCCATGTATAATTTAGATAATACAAACTACAAACTGAAATTTATTGGTTATCTATAACAATTTTGTTCTTTCTAACCAAATCCTTTAAAGAAGTTTTGCCTATTTTGAATTATGTCCTGAATATGCTACAACATATATTTAATGCAGTTGTAAATTTTGACCAACATATATTGTTTGTGTTTTTATATTAGAATGTCAGTGCAAGCGAAGCATCTGGTCGTCTTGTTACTTCTGTATTAAATATTGTTCGGTTTAACGGTTTTATACCTAGTTGATGAAGTATAATACAACCCTTAAATAATTGATAGTAAGCAGTTTGAATACAGAAAACATTATGCAATAGAATTCACATACTAATCAACAATCTGAATTTGAATGCGGTGAATCATCAAAGGACGATTTGTCATAGCTTAGAAAACTAGCAAAAGTAAGCAACATAAAGTACCAGTAATTAGAATGTAAATGTAAGTTACACAGTGAATTTGAACTGAATTTTATGTTGGGATGATTCATGACTATTGTCGAATACCGTATATTGTCGTCATGAAGTCTTATTTTCTTGTTGCTGGGTCTTTGCTTCATTGACATAACCCGTATTTCTTTTCATATGTGAAAAGACATTATTCTAATAAACTATTTTTATCTTACCTACTTTTAACTCAGGAGTATATAATTTTAAGATAGGTAACTTACAAAAATCCCATTCCTACCTATAATGTTGTAGAGCATTCTTTTACTTCGTCAAGTAAGAGCAAATAAACGAAGTAAAATCAAGCTTACAATCGGAGCAAATTGGGAAAAATGATTGTTTCATGTTTTCTATACACGACAAAATCATCGGAAAAAAAGGTATTTTCTCTCCTCAATTGCACTGATTATAAGCTTGATTTAATTTCTTTCGTTGTTCTCACTAGAAGAGTACTAGAATGTCTAACCACAGAGTATGTAATCTGTGGAAATCATATACTCTGGAGTCAAAAGTCGGTAATATGAAAATGGTCTATTAAATACACGATTACATAACACGCCTTCGTCGAATTATCTCGGGCTTTCCAGCTTCCTACGAGAAAAGTACCTGGCCGCAACACAATAGCCAACAGTGCTGAAAGTTGCACTTAACACCAATCAATCAATCAAGCAATAATGTATTCTTTTTTATGTCTAAAAGTTTTACACAAAATTTTATCATATTTTCTGATACAAATCATTTTCATTTTGCCGCATGTTTTTTATGATTACTTACAAAGCAAAAGTAGAAGTTTTAATTATGACTTCACAGTATTTCTACGAAAAATCCAAATTAAAGACCAATGTTGCGTTCTCTTCTCCAATGTATTTTTATACAACTGTAAATCAACTAGTCCTTGCACAATAACTAATGAATACGGAAAGTTCGACAGGACTTAGATATTCACAAAATACCTTAGTGCAACTTAATAGAAATGTACTAAGTGTTGTTTTCAATTTTAAATAATGGTAGAATAACATTGAAGAAGGACGATTTGTATTGTTAAGTCAATATCTTCTCATAAGTACAATTTAAATGACAAATTTGAAAAATCAAAATTGATGAAATGATATTGTGCTTGTTATTTGCCCTACAATATATTTAATTGAAAAAAATGTTTACAAGTATATCTTTTGTATATGTTATATTAGTATTTTTAATATATTGTATGTGACACAAAACATGATAAAATCTAAATGTTAGGAATAATGATTTAAATTTTTTTTTAATTTTTAGATATTTCGCAAAATAAAGGGATCTTGGTTCTGGAATCTTGAAACGGATAAGAAATCTGTATATACCAAGTTTCAATTTGAATGAGACGGAAAAACAATTATCATACCAATTCAAATAATAAGAAGATTTTTCATTAAAAACTAAATTTTGGGTTTCTACATTCGTCTTGTCCATTCTAAGTGTGTCATTAGTGACCGATACTATAAACTGCAGTGGTTGATTATTTCCGAATGTTTGTGGAAAGAGATAAGCCTTAAAGAAAATAAAGAAATATTTCCTGCTCTGATTGATTGATAGATATTTTCTCAACTTCCAGGGGCAAATAATTGACGAATATTCAAAAAGATTTATAATAATTGGTAGGTTTTGTGAGGTAGGTCCAACGCCATGGGATGCATTCCCAGAAAAAAAAACAAATCCAACAATAAATCAAATACAATAAAAGTAGCAGAATTGATAGAAAATTAATCTTTTATCATTACTGCAAAAAAAGTAACTTTATGATTACAGTTTCATTTTTAGTCAAACATTAAATATTTTGATAATTTCAGTCACAACACGGGGTGGGGTTGCACATTTTCTCTCATTTTACCTTTTCTACAGAAGTTTGTTTTATTAACAACAAAGTGAGGCAACATATTTTTTCTTCTTCAAATTAGTGTTTGATAGAGCTTGAAAAAAAATGAATTTGCATATGCAGTTAAAGTAAATTTCTTACTCGTATACTGTATGACAAAATACAACCAAACTCTTCTATCATCTATAACTTAATCATAAGCCGTAGTATTTTAATAACCCGCTTCGCCGCTCAAAAAAGCTTGGTGGAAAAAGAAATTCGAAAATAAGTAGCGTTTGAAAAACTCTTTGCGAGCGAACACCAACTAGATTACATCTGTTTATGCCTATTTTAGCCATAAGCATTCGTACGGACACTTATGTGATCAAACGTAAAAAAGTATTGCATCCACATATGACTCACCAGGAGAACTTCAAAAAAAAAAGAAGAACTTCGAAACAAAAATTATCCAAACAGTAGTGCAAATCTGAACTAATTCATCTATACATGGTGGAATTTAAAACCTAGTTTTTAGAATAAAGCTAGATTTCATAAACAGTAGATTTACAAAAAATGACCGTATCAATAATATTTCATATCAGGAGAGGAGATATAGGACAACTACTGCTACAGGTTTAAGTAGATTGAAGTACTATCATTTTCTTTTGATGTAAAAGTAACTTTAAGGAAAGCCATATGATGTAAAAATTGCCAGAACGTTCAATTTGTTTTGTGTAAGACTTCAAAAATATTTTGTACCTAAGAAAAATTAGGAGTAGGTCAACAAGAAAAGGGAATTAAAAATTGATATAAACAGGGTTTCACAATAACAATCTACTCCAGTTCAATAAATCAGTCTTCCATAAAAACCATCAAAAGGGGGAAAATGTATATCATTTTATGTTTTCTTACGAAAACGGTACAATAAAAATATTCAAATAAAAATATGATTGAATTGATATCATAAAATATTGCTTTTAAACATGCAAATATACTTTACAATGAACAATACTAACCAAAAGAAAAAAGCTGGATGGTTTTTGTTAACTATTACAAAGCTAAAACTTAAAATGCGTTTTATTATAAATGTTTGACTATATGAATATGAATAAAAGAGGGTGTTATCTATATAAAATATATCAAAACTGATTGGTTTTCATCAACATGTAAAACGAACCCTTCTTTACATAGTGATACCAAGGTAAAATAATTTAGATGTATAAGTGCAATCATAAAGAAATGATTTACATGTAGAACTTTTCATATTTCATCATTATGTATATCAAAAGCAACATCTTATTGACTGTAATTATTATTCTTTCAAGGAAAATATATGGTAAGGCTTTGAATGTTTCTTTTTTTTTTTATCTTTTTTGAAATGTTTTGCCTTGTTTGAAGCAAAATTGATTATTTTATATATTTTTAATTCTTATTTGGCGTTATAAAAAATCTCATCTAAAGGATAAACTCTTTAGATAATTTCATATTTCTATATCTTATATTTATATTTAAATTACAATCAGATTCTATAACTGTGGTGCATGCCATTCCTATACGTAAATTATGTTTATTCACTTTTTGATTCTATATATATCGTATTTGCTTTATTGAGAGATTCAAGCGAGATATTAAGTGTCTTCGTTCAATCTTTCAAAACAAAGATATGATAACAATATTTTTTATGGTAATAATAATAATGATAATACTTATAATAATAATGATAATAATAATAATAATAATAATAATAATAATAACAATAACAATAATAATAATGATAGAGATAATAATTATTATAACTTATGGTAATAATAATAATAATAATAATAATAATAATAATAATAATAATAATAATAATAATGATAATGATAATATTTATTATAACTATTATAATAGAACAAAACATTTTGAAAAAACAAAAACCGCAGATGGAAAAGGAACAACAGATATAAAGTTTATTCATTTACAAAGCGCCTGATTTTAGAAATGTAGATACTCATATCATTATTATCTAGTACATAGTTCTTACAAACCAAATTTATGCGTATCATGTACTTCAAGAAAAAATGCTCATCTGAAAATGTCCGCATTTGGAAAATTAATAACAATGCAATTCGAAAAAAGGTTTTTAGTTATACAGTGTGAATAGTCTCTCCTGAAGTTTCTGAATTTAAACGTCTGCTACTAATCTATTTGAACGTATGATACTAATCTATTTAAACGTATGATCTAATCTATTTAAACGTATGGTACTAATCTATTTAAACGTTTGATACTAATCTATTGTAACGTATGATCTAATGTATTTAAACTTAAGGTACTAATATATTTGAACGTATAAAACTAATCTATTTAAACGTATGATACTAATCTATTGAAACGTATTATACTAATTCTTTACTAAGTACTAGTGAAGTGTTTTGATTTTACTACACCAGATGTGCCTTTCAGCAGTTAAACAACCAACTCAGTACTACCCGACCCAACGTTGTATTATTTTAAGTATAAGATATTAATACTGTATTATATTTGATTCTTTGTTGTAGTTGTTACTGCTATTACTGAATGCACGAACAACAGAGATACTGGCGAAAATGACGGGCTTAAAAGTAAAAAAGAAATTGACAATCAAGCAGGTAATCTACTCATTTTATTTGTTTCAATTAAACAGAATTCATGTGACCAATATGGTAATTAATTAATATAATACATAACAATTTACATGGAAAAATTAAAATATATATATATGCGCATTTGAAAACTACTTTTGAATCATATTTATGAAGAAAAGCCGAAAATTGTGTTCTGTACACCTCGTCCCCCCTGAAATTTTACAGGTGTACAAAAGCGAATAGGTAATAAACGATGTTACCTGGTTGATACGAGGGGGCATCCGTACTCCGTTAAAGAAGTCACAAAATGGAATTAAACAAAGTCAGTTTAGTCACTGATAAGATGACTATTCTATCATCTAAAATTCTAAAACAGGAAAAACAAGTCTCTTACATGTATCTCATTCATAAAACATCATATTTACGTCTATAGACGTAAAGACAGAAAAACATGTTTGGAGTTTGTAAGGCCACACCAAATGAATTTCTAGTTCTTCGGACAATTTCCGTAAAAAAGGGTTGCGAGAGAACGAAATTTTTTTATTTGTTTTTTTTTTTCGAAGTTTGATTTTTGGCAGGCGAAAGTAATTTTTTACTAGCGAGCGATATTATTTTTGAAATATTAAAAAAATTAAATCCATGAAAAGCATTTTATGCAAGCGAGCGATCAGAAATTTACACAGTTTTGGTGCTTCATGTTTTTATATATCTCGTATCCTACTTCTTATATTACCCTAATTTGCTTCTTAATATGTTCCCAGACACCCTGTTTTCAGTACAAAAATGGTTAACTAGTAACAAAGCCTACAACTTTGTGTAGTCTGCTCAAAAAAAGATCCAGCTGGACATGAAATAGTACAACAGCATTGAACAGGTAGACATCCATGTTTGATGTCAGTTATAATTGATGCATTATAAAAATAATGAGATGTGATATGATTGCCAATTAAACAACTTTCCACCAAAGTTCAAATGAAATAGATATATACAATTATAGGCAACTGTATAGCCTTCAACAATGAGAAAACCCATACCGTATATCGGCTACAAAAGACCCTGACATGACAAATATGAAACAATTCATTTGAGAAAACTAACGGCCTAATTCATAACAAAACAATTTACGAAAAACAAATTTGACAGACAGGATTCAACAACAACCAGTGAACTTCAGGCTCCTGACTTAGGACAGGCACATATAGAATGGTACATGTATGTAGTTTCGTATGCAAAGCATATATGCATGTATAAAGCTTTTATATACAACTATACATATTTGTGAATACAACAAGATGAAAATTTATAAAGGACTGTCCTTCAAAAACTACACCAATTTATACTACTACGTATTCAAATGCATCACACAAGATGCTATATACTAATTAAACATATAGGAAAATTTTAATACATTCCACTTTATAATAGTCATGCTTTGCTGAAGAATTTAGGATGATTGATTGATTGTTGGTTGCTTAACATCCAGTGGCAAATATTTCATGCATGTTCAGGACGAGAACAAATAAACAATAAACAAAATGGAAAGGTCCTGTAACAGAGGCCGTCCTAGACGAAGGTCGGTGAAATTTGTACCATCACAGAAAAATGAGGCTACATTGGACAGGGACAAAAAAAGTTTGGCACTCTCCCTACACGAGGCATCTGATTTAAAGTCCCCATTCTGACTTGACGTGGCTGTGCACTTATATATTCCGCACAGCCATTCGAATGCCCCACCTTGGCAAGGGTTTTACTGCCAGTCGGAGAAAGACCTATTGTGATCATATTTCTTTTCTCCAGTCACCCTTGAGGGGACGAAGAATTTAATAGCAATCAAATTTTTATGTATATGGGGATGTTGCTCTGTGTTGAAGGCTATATCGTAAACTTTACTGGTTGCAAACCTCAACAAATTTGGTCTCCAGTGGAAGTTTGTCTCATTGACAATCATACACATTCTGATATTTAGAAGATTTTGTAAATTGCAAAGTTGAATTGATGTGTTATATTCAATTACCACAAACAATTTCTTGCCAAATTCCATGCTTTATAACTATGTAATGATACTAGCAAATATAAATAAAAGTTTCAAAGGAAAAAAGCTTTTATTCTAAACCTTAAAGATAAAAATAAGTAACAATATATAATAGTATCATTGCGTTGCCATTTCAAAGCATGTACCGTCAACTTCTGGATTCTCTTTTATTTTCATGCATGTTATATTGTCATCATTTCAATCATTCAATTCGGAGGCGTTGGTGATTTGTGTCATGTGTTGTCTTCAACGGAGCACTCAGTCAAACATATCGGTAAAAGAATTGTCAAAATCACATTCCACTCTGTGTTTTATAGTAAGGTCGTTGCCTGTGTTACCACTGTAACTACAAGTATTCCCCTGATGTCTTACGTTTAGAAAATGTATCATATTATATTTGTCCATATAAATAAAAAACGTTGTGAATGTTAGATCTAGATCAACAGGCCTCAGTACAAACAACTAAATAATAGAAACCCAGATAGAAAACATGTTACGGTACAAGACCGGATGCGTAACGGACACAGCAGAAACAGTAGTACTAGAACCGATATTTCTGGCATATATTCAACTAATCACAATAAACAGGTTTTTATGCCAACCCGCTAATTCCAAATCACCAACAGCATTTTTTAGGCCAACAAAGCCTCCAATGGCAGACCAGGTAGCACAAACAATAGAAGCCTCAAATACTACACTGCAAATAGTTTCATTCAACTGTAAAAGTATTAAATCATGCAGTGCAACGGTTAGGGATCTGATAAGACAAAATGAATTTGTACTTATTCAAGAAATTGGCTATTTGAAGGACAATTAAATCTGATAGGAGAAATCGACGCAAATGTGAACTATGCCGCTAAAGGTGTGGATAAATATGATCCACTCCCGCCGATTTATTTGCCAAGAGGATATGGAGGAGTAGCTAAAGTATGGAAGATGAAGTTGGATAGTATGATTAGAACATTAGATGACGGAAGAGAGCGTATACAATGCGTGGAAGTCTTAGAAAAAGATAATAGCAATCTGCTCTTAATATTTATTTATTTACCATCAACTGGAAGTCGTGATCATTATAAAGAATTTAAAGACAATATAGATCAACTCAACGAAATTGTGCTCAAATATCAAGATACCCATTATATGATAATTGGTGGAGATCTAAATGAAGACTTAGGAAACAGCGATAGAATAAATAAGAGAAAAGACTATCTGGAAAAATTTGTGAAAGAGACTGGGCTTAAATACGACAATAAAGGAAAGATATTCGTAAAGGTCAATGGAGAAGAATGTTCAGAATTGGACTACTTCCTACATAAACTTGGTAAAATAAAGCAAACAAACAAGCAAGTGATGAATAGCATTATGAACAACACGTCAGATCATCATCCTATAAAAATGAAAATATTATATGGAATCTCGAACGATGCAGATTGCAAAAATCTAACGAAGGATTGTACAAACCGAGCTGTCAAATGGGACAAAGTTGATATTGCCCTATATGCAGCCATGACAAATAAACAATCGGATTCTATACTCAACATGCCGCTGGATACATTAGAACAAGCTACATCCGTCTTAGAGCAGGTGCATGAATTTCTAAATGATGCAGCAGTTACATGTGCCTCAAAAAAGCCAAGGTACAAGGCAAAACCGAAATTGAATGTATGGTCTCCAGATAAAAAGTTAGCCCTAGACGAGATGCGTAAATACTATGCGCAGTGGGTAAAGCAAGGAAAATCAAGGAACACTGAAAACAATAAATACCAACAAAGACTGAGAACTAGAAGGGAATTTAGGCAACAGGTGCGAATTGGAAATGCTAAAGTCAAAAATTCTGAGAAACAATGCATAATGGAAACAAGAACAAAGGATGCAAAACTGTTCCACCATCTAGTAAAAAGCAATAGAAAGACCAAGGGTAATGCTATCATGGATTTGCATGTGGGAGACATATGTATGTCTGGTGAGCAAAATGTTATGGAAGGCTTCAAACTGCACTTTAGAAACTTAGCAACTCCAGAGGAATATACAGTCTTAGAGAATAGACAATATCATCAGGAAGTAGAATATGAAATAGGATTAATTACAGAGATAGTGAAAGATAAGAATATACCAACGGCCACACTAGAAGAACTACAAAAGGCCATTAAATCAATTAATAAAGGAAAATCAGCTGATATCTATGGAATCACTGTCGAACATATATTACATGCAGGGAAAATTTGGAATGGTTGAATATTCAAAGAAGGCAAGGTACCAGACATGCTAAAAGAGGGATTACTCGCCCCGTGTTTAAGAACAAAGGCGAGAAAAACATAGCAACTAACTAAGAGAGGAATCACTGTACTACCGGTGTTAGACAAAGTGATAGAAACAATCGTAAAAGTAAGGATCAACCCAGCAGTACTTGTAACCCAAAATGTAACTCAACGAGGATTTACGGCAGGCTCAAGACCAGCAAAGGCAGCCTTACCGGTAGAAAAAATATACCGTGAAGCCAAAGATAACAATCAAGAGTATGAACTTGTACTGCTGGACCCAAAATCAGCCTTTGATGTAGTTATACATTCCCATCTTATGAAGCGGCTCTATCATGCAGGAATCGATGATAAACACTGGACAATCATTCAGAGTATGCACACAAATGCAACAAGTACAGTTGTATGGAATGGCCAAACTTCCGAGCTATTTAATGTACTACAAGGAGTACGCCAGGGAGTGATCCTAAGTACTGACCTATACAAGCTTTATATCAATCCACTACTCAACATGCTGGAAACATCGAATTTAGGATGTAGGATTGGAAATAAACTCTGCAATACTAGCGCATGTGCAGATGATGTCGCACTCATGAGCAAAAAGGACAACCGATATGCAAGTACAAATCAATATGGCAAACACTTTTGCCGGCATGGAGGGATATAAACTACAGCCAAAAAAAAAGCGTGGCTATAAACATCAAACCTAAGCCAACAAGGAAAAAAACGCTATTGGAAGAATATACAATGAATGAAGCTACTATGCCAAGAGTTGTCTCAGCTATGCATTTAGGAATAATCAGAAACAAATCTATGAAGCAAAATATCATAGCAAATATTGAGGAGAATATAAAAAAATCAAGGAGAAGTGCTTATGTTCTACTTGTCAGTGGCTTCCATGGTGAAAATGGACTGGATATGGAAACAATAATACACCTGTATAAAATCTACATCTTGCCAGTGTTATTATATGGAATGGATCTATTAACACCACGTTCTCTTAATCTAGAGAAATTAGAAAAATTTCAAAAGAAAATGCTTAAGCAACTAATGTTACTTCCAACTAACACACCAGATCCCGCAATTAACATCTTGACGGGAATACTACCAGTTGAGGCACAAATACACTTAAAGGTTATGACCCTCTACATAAATGTATGTACCCAACCCAAAGAAAGCTTAGAAAAACAACTAGCAAGGAGGCAATTGTGCATCAAGTCATTGAATAGTAACAGCTGGTTTATTATTACATGTGAAATGACAATTCAAGTATTAATGAACATTACAAAAATACAAAAGATATACAGAATCACATCCGACGTGATGTCTAAAATAAAATTCCAAGCAAGAAGGCTAGTGTTCCTCATACACAATGCACGATATCAACTGGTGATGAAAGACCAAGCAAAGAAATAGAATGCCTGAGAGTGGGAGCAAGGATGGGAGGGACAGCAATGAATAATTAAATAAATAATTGAAAATGTACTTAATACAATTTTTGAAAGTATAATTCTTTTATTAAATCTTATAGTCTCAGTTAATAAAAATTTGTAAATTAACTATAAAATAGGTTTGAAAGCATAATTTTTCTATTTACTCTCACAATACACAGTAAATGAATTAATGTCAAATTAACTTAAAATATAAAGGTGAATTTTTTAAAGGTCACAGACTATAAATTTTGTCTTTTTCCTTCTTTGAATTATCTAAAAAGTAAATATATGATTTAGTCTGTAAATTTTATTACATTTAGTATCAGCAGACCAAAATAAACTAAACTGCCCGAGGAAAAAAATCATAAAAATTCTAAACTTCCCATGTAAAAAATCTTAAAAACTGTAAATGTCCCATGTAAAAAGTCATAAAATTCTAAACTTCCCATGTAAAAAGTCATAAAAACTTTAAAAGTTCCTAATGTAAATAGTGTATATAATGTTGTGGTGTTATAATTGTTAATTTTCATTATTTTTTGGTGGTGGAACTGTTCGACATACGAAAGTATGGTTACCCTATAAAGGGTGTAAAGATCCAGAGAAGTAGAAGAAGGTGTCAGTTTTTGTGTCTGTTTGGCGTTACTTTGAAACGCACAATTGATTAAAATTTTGGTTATATAAATTTAGAGACGGACGCTCGCGGCTCCGTACTGGAAGCGGGATTTAAAAAAAAATACTTTTTTTTCGTCCACCTTCCACAACACGCAGGGAATCCGACGAAGGAGGTATTAATTTGGCGTGGCCTAACCCATACAAGAACTCTTCAAATGACGTTTGTATGGAGTTTGAATGTATCATTAACTATTTTTGTGAAGAAATATGCGTGACTATCATGAAATACGTTCTTCTATAATAGATTTATCAGTTCTCTGAACAATAGACGTGTGACTTTCATACAATTTAAGAGTGAACCATTTTGCAGTTGTCGATCAAGTGAGGCTAACTCGTATGTTCTTGATCCTTTAATCTGTCTTTTTTTTTAAACTGAGAGACCCTTAAAAGAACATACTAGTGAGTAGTTTTCCCTGTGATTCAAAAAATGGTTTACCTTTCCAGTGTTTAAGTTCTGTTGCAACAATAATCTATATTATTTCTTTTATTACATATCTTTTGGTTTAGTTATAGCGATCTAAAATCATGGTATATGATAAAACAAATAACAAAGAAGTATGTCCATTTTCTATTGTATTTGTCACTTTTCCCGATAAAAACGAAAAATGTAATTAAATCAAATGAATGTTACAATATTAAGGAATCTCGGTTATATACTTGAACTTTCATCAGCTTTTAACATGTATTTAAAAATTTATAATGTAATTTACCCCTAAACCGCCATTACAAATATCATTCATTACCTAAATTTAGGTTCTGATAGGAAAAATTCACTCATGCACATTATGCATGATCCGCAATGATTTAATTTGAAGTAAAAAAGATACGAAGGTGTTTTCCTCCTGATAAAATTTTGGGTTTAGTTTGTAATCTTTTACCCATTCATTTTTGATATCAAATCAAAACAATGAATAAAATCTATATGACCGTATACAGTAAAAATGTAATGTTTATAAATGATATAATGAAAATAGAACATCAAAGTTCAAGCAACGGCTGTCTTTTCAAGTTAAAACAAAGAATTAGAAAAAGAATAACACAAAAAAAGAAGAAGAAAAATCTTAAGACAAAGAAAGATACAAAGCCAAAACGAAAGAAAAAAAGAACTGAGAAATATTTCACAAAATACTACATAGAAAACAAATGGTTGAGCAAGAAGAAACTCGGGTGCGTCGGAAAACGTAAATAGTTCCTACTTTACTAGTGGCACCCACCGTGTTGTTCAAGAAAGGTAAAAACCCGGTGATTATTTTTAGGCCTTTAAATGTTTTAAAAATGGGAAAAGTATCACGCAAGTTTAACATATACGTGGTTATCCGTGGCACAGAAAGTGCCTGACAACCGTGGATGAGGTATACTTGGCTATCTGTGGCACACAATGAATGAGGGATACGCAGTTATCTTTGACACTTGAATTCCTTAACATCAGTGAATGAGGGATACGCGGTTATCTTTGACACTTGAATTCCTTGACATCAGTGAATATTGTTATATCATTCTTATGTCTGTTCTCTCATCATCACAATGCAATGATATGTTTATAATATATATGGGTCCTCTTGTGCACATATGTGTCAGAGGATAATAATGCAGTTGAAGCTTGAAACTTGAAATTTGTGGATAAGGGGAAAATAGGTAAAACAGGAATTCCAATGTAAAAAATATATTTTCAGGAGTAGTTGTTGTGCTGACTCAAGATAATGAATTTCGTTATACTTGTTGTGGTTTTGTGTATGAGTGGAAGTTTCACACCGATGCAACAGGAACATTTGATGCGCAGGTGTGGAGAAGTCAATCGAACGACGTTTACCTATTGGTTGGATCTAATTCATTAACATCAACAGGTAAGTTAACAATTTTGATCAGTGTAAGTGCTGTCATTTAAATAAAATATATCAATACTTTTTCTCACATTGTTTCTAAAACAAAATAAACGACAATCATTTTTTACATTACTTCTAAGTTTGTTATAATTTTCTTATACGGTTTGAGTTTTGCTTATATAATTTTTCACATCTTTGTTCTTTGTCTTTATAGATTGCTTTCTATACTTTGAGCAACCAACATATATTAGCAAATAGGGTTGCTAAACGTACTGTTAATTATTCATGCATTTATTTATTATTGAGAAACAATTTCTTCATATATTTTTATACGGCATTATAAATAAGTTACACACCTAAATTGTTATATGTTCATTGTAACGTCGTAAAATTATCTACAAAGGAATTTTATCTTTTGTATTAATATTGTGAAAGACTTTCTTTTTGCTTTAGGATTCAACTCGCATAACTAACTATCAATTGTTATAATAGTTTAAATGGATCAAAAACTGCTGTTCTAATCTAATTTTGAACCAATAAGGTGTTATTTCATTTTCACGAACCTGTCTCAACTCGCTTTTCTTGTTTCGTATCTCTATTTCCGTCTTGTTTTTGATGTTGTATTTTATTTTATTCACACGTTAAATCAGGAATTGGTTCTTTACCTTTAGTTTGTTATTTCACTGACGATCGAATGTTAAAAATAATTGAATCAACCAACTGTCTGTCCTAATTTCGGAATATTTTATTTATTTGTCTTCATAATTTTTTGTACGGAAGGACGTTGATGATGGGCCTTTGATAGAATCTGTAAAATTTACTCACAAGTAAACATTTGTACTTTTAATTACATAAGGAAGTTACAATTACTAATAACTTGCAAACATGAACACCGTCCTACGACATCAATGACAATTTTGATGATCGATTTGGAACAATTACAACAACAACATTTATACCACTTAGATGACGGAGATGAAGAAGTTCGCACTATCAGCAATGGACAGAGAATTCGAGTCATGGAAGACGATTATCTGGGAATGTAAGTTACTTTAAACATGATAAAACAAGAATGTTTGTCCATATGACGACACCGTGCTCCGCTTACACTTTTAAAATTTCCGTGTTCAGAGGATCTTGGTTCAAATCTTAATTTGGCATATATTTTAGAAAATGATCAACGGTAATCAGTGGACCACAGGGAATCTAGGTATAAACGATATATTTCACAGTGTCATGTTTTTCACGGACTGTTTTGACGTCTTTATCTAAATCAGTTGTATGTGTACTGGTTAATACTTTAGTTTGGGAAACATGATTGTTTTAGTTGTAATTGTCTTTGGTCTAGCTTTGAGTAACTTCGGTTACTCTTATTTCGGTGTTTTGTGTCTGTTGTTTTTATTTCAGTTGTTTTGTGCGTCGTACCAATCTTTTGAGCTAAGCCAATTGCAACTGATAGTTACCGTTTGTTCTTGTGTTGTGCTATTACCACACTATCATAGATAAGGGGTTGGGTTGTTGAATATTGAACCCCGCCGCATTATGTATGTACCTGTCTCAAAACAGGAGCCTGTAATTCAGTAGTTGCCGTTTGTTGCTGTATATATTATATCTTTATACAATTACTAATAATTTACAAACATGAATATCGCTCTACAACATTGATGCCAATTTTGATGATCGATTTTAAATAATTACTAAAAGATAATTTTTATCAGTGGACCTCGCCAAATCTAAGTATAAATATCATATTTCACAAGGTCGTGCGTTTCATGGACTGTTTATGACGTTATTACTTTAGATCTGTTGGATATGTACCGACTGATACTTTAGTCTGGGAAAACATGATGTATTTATTAGTTGTTATTGCCTTTAACTAGCTTTCAGAAACTGCCAGTACGCTTATTTCGGTGCTTTGTGTCTATTATTTTTATGAAAGTAGTGTTTGGGCCTCGTACCGATTTTTTGAGTTTAGCCAATTGAAACCAATTTTTACAGTTTGTTCTTGTAACACCACTGTCCAAGGTTAGTGGGAGAGTTAAATGCTTAGAAACATGTTTAATCCCGCCACATTCTTTATGTGTCTATCCCACATCAGAATCTTGTAGCACAGTGGTTATCGCTTGTTCATTTTCTGTCATATTCGTTTTTGGTAAATTGGTTTGTTATAAATTAGGCCTTTAGTTTTTCGTTTGAATTGTTTCACATTTTTATGTAGAGCTTTTTATAGGCGACTATACAGTATAGGTTTTTCTCAGATTCGCATTGAGGTTAAAGCAAGCAGAGTTAAAGATGCTTATTTGTTGATCCATACGGTCTCGCTCCCGTAGAGGTTCATGCGATTCCCTAATTTTTTGTTTGTAACCTTGAATCGAATCTTTGAATCGAATGAAAGAACCTTAGTGAGCGCGCTCACATACCCCACGTCCCCACATTGTCATTGGAGAAATAAAATAAGTGTAAGAAAAAAAAATTAGATCAGAAAAAAAAATTGAATCATAATTTCCTGTCAATATGCACATCTACATAGTATGTCCTTATTATCTACACAGTTTCATGAAATTCTGTTGTGTGGTTTGAGAGGAGTTGCGATGACAAAAAGTTGCAGTAGTATATTGGGCAAATAAGTTCAAAGAGGCGTAACTCCTGGAAAAAAATTGAATCGTAATTTCCTGTCGATATGCACATCTACGTAGTATGTCCTTATTATCTGAAAAGGTTTCATGAAATTCTGTTGTGTGGTTTGAGAGGAGTTGCGATGACAAAAGGTTGCAGTAGTATATTGGGCAAATAAGTTCAAAGGGGCGTAACTCCTGGAAAAAAGATTGAATCGTAATTTCCTGTCGATATGCACATCTACGTAGTATGTCCTTATTATCTGAAAAGGTTTCATGAAATTCTGTTGTGTGGTTTGAGAGGAGTTGCGATGACAAACTGTTGCAGTAGTACATTAAAGTAAATAAGTTCAAAGGGGCGTAACTCCTAGAAAAAGAATTGAATCGTAATTTCCTGTCGATATGCACAACTACATAGTATGTCCTTATTATCTAAAAAGGTTTCGTGAAATTCTGTTGTGTGGTTTGAGAGGAGTTGCGATGACAAGAAACAGGACTGATGGACTGACGGACTGACGGACGGGTCAAAAACATTATACCCTCGGCAACTTGTTGCGAGGGGTATAATTATGATGAACATCGGTTTATTACTATGTCCCAGATTTACCTTAATCAGGAATACTAGTACTCAATTCCCAAATTGTAATAGACAATGACGTATAAATACTCCAATACGTGAAGAGCTGTATGACCAAAAAGTGGCCTAAACAATAGACAAATCTATCTAAAGACAGCGTTGCCTTTAAATTAGCTTATAGCAAAACCTGACATGTTACAGAGAGACAAACAGGAAAACATAGCAAAACCTGACATGTTACAGAGAGACAAACAGGAAAACATAGCAAAACCTGACATGTTACAGAGAGACAAACAGGAAAACATAGTAAAACCTGACATGTTACAGAGAGACAAACAGGAAAACATAGTAAAACCTGACATGTTACAGAGAGACAAACAGGAAAACATAGCAAAACCTGACATGTTACAGAGAGACAAACAGGAAAACATAGCAAAACCTGACATGTTACAGAGAGACAAACAGGAAAACATAGCAAAACCTGACATGTTACAGAGAGACAAACAGGAAAACATAGCAAAACCTGACATGTTACAGAGAGACAAACAGGAAAACATAGTAAAACCTGACATGTTACAGAGAGACAAACAGGAAAACATAGCAAAACCTGACATGTTACAGAGAGACAAACAGGAAAACATAGCAAAACCTGACATGTTACAGAGAGACAAACAGGAAAACATAGCAAAACCTGACATGTTACAGAGAGACAAACAGGAAAACATAGCAAAACCTGACATGTTACAGAGAGACAAACAGGAAAACATAGCAAAACCTGACATGTTACAGAGAGACAAACAGGAAAACATAGCAAAACCTGACATGTTACAGAGAGACAAACAGGAAAACATAGCAAAACCTGACATGTTACAGAGAGACAAACAGGAAAACATAGCAAAACCTGACATGTTACAGAGAGACAAACAGGAAAACATAGCAAAACCTGACATGTTACAGAGAGACAAACAGGAAAACATAGCAAAACCTGACATGTTACAGAGAGACAAACAGGAAAACATAGCAAAACCTGACATGTTACAGAGAGACAAACAGGAAAACATAGCAAAACCTGACATGTTACAGAGAGACAAACAGGAAAACATACTGTCCCAACTATCTTCGACAGAACACCAAAATTGTAAAAAGAGACATATTGTACGGTGAATCTGATTGAGAGGACATAAGTAGTGCTTTGTAAAATGCTTCAACTTTATACATTTGTAGTTAATTTAATAAATATAATATTGTTTTGATAGAACACAAATCAATGTTGAAACATTTGAAATATACTGTCCCAAGTCAGGAGCCTGTAGTTCATTGGTTGTCGTTGGTTCATGTCTGTCATGTTTGTTTATCGAAAATTGTTTTGTTATAAATAAGGCCGTTAGTTTTCTCAATTGAATTGATTCATATTTTTCATGTCAGGGCTTTTATAGCCGACTATACGGTATGGGTTTTTGTCGTTGTTAAAGGCCGTACGGTTGCCTTTAATTGCTTACATCCACTTCATTTGAACTTGAGTGGATAGTTATCTCATTGGCAACCATACAGCATCTCCTAAATTTTATAAGAAGTATCTTATAATTGACTATTTGAATTTCTATTTTTACAATGGTGATGTGTGTTTTTCTCCGACGAGGGAGTTTAATTGCATATTAGTGACTTCTCTCTTCTTTTTTTCTAAATATATAAGTTAATTTTATAAATATAATATTGTTTTGATAGATTACAAAATAATGTTGAAACATTTGAAATATACTGTCCCAAGTCAGGAGCCTGTAGTTCAGTGGTTGTCGTTGGTTCATGTCTGTCATGTTTGTTTTTCGAAAATTGTTTTGTTATAAATTAGGCCGTAAGTTTTCTCAATTGAATTGATTCATATTTTTCATGTCAGGGCTTTTATAGCCGACTAAACGGTATGGGTTTTTGTCATTGTTGAAGGCCGTACGGTTGCCTTTAATTGCTTACAACCACTTCATTTGAACTTGAGTGGATAGTTGTCTCATTGGCAACCCTACAGCATCTTCTAATTTTTATAAGAAGTATCTTATAATTGACTATTTGAATCTCCCTTTTTTCTAAATATATAATGTTCTATTGTAAACATCGTTTACGGCATTGATTGTTAAGGATTCAATATCCCATTTCATGTGTGTTTGTTACTTGTTTTTATGAATGTGTTCATAATTTGACTTGGAAAAAAAATGGATGACAGCCATACAAGCTGCAGTTTGACATTATATGACACACTGCTTCTTTTGTAAAATGTGGTTGTTTTTTGTCGGTTTGTGCAAATGTCTTTCTTGAAGAAATTTATTGATCAGACTTGTATTAATTTACTACTTGAAGAACGTGTTTAATGTTTTTAGTAGTGTGAAGGTCAATAAAAACAACGAGATTTCTGAAAATATAGTTTAAACTGGAAAATGACAATTTTTCAGACATTCAACTGGAACATTTCTCGTAACTCATAAAAGTGAAGGATCAGAAACTGTAAGGAAGCTGACTGGCCAAACAACACCAATTGCTGTGTCGTCAACACTTGATACTTCTGGTGCAACAGTAGAGGCACTAGACTATGCGATCAGGTCGTATTATACACCAAGTACGTACTTTAACAAATATTAACTCGAGAGAGCAAACGGAATAGCTGTTATTTCGTTTCAAATTCATGTAATAATCTTCCATCAATGCTTTCTCGTTTTTTTATGCGTATATATAAAACGTCTTGAAATTAGCACAACAATGATATAATTTCACTTTTGAACTTGGTATCTAATAGAGCTCATTCTGCCCTTTCCAGCCGTTATATAATAATATATAAGGTTGTAACACACATTAAATGATTATACATAAAATGTAATATCTGTATAGTTAATTTGTATTCTTTTAAAACATAACGTAAAGGAAGAATATGCCACATATGAATACCTGAAAATCTTATGAATATTTTCTCTACAAAAATTTCTACCCCACATGTAATCATGACTACACTACATTACGATTGAAATTGTATTCTTAAACTGTCATATTCATAAATTTGACTTTTTATATAGCCTATTTGGCCGAAGTATATGAATGCTTAGCACAGTGTAGTGATTATCCAAAAGAAAAGATATAAAATAGAGCTGCTATAAGTCACAAATCAAAAACCAATGTTCATTGAAGTATTGTGCAAAACATGCGATACATAAAAGAGAAGCAAAATATACCAGAGGAACATTCAGACTCATAAGACGAAAATTAACTCACAACGCCATGGAAAAAAAAATATAAAAAGTTTAGAACCTATAACATAATCCGTAATAGAAACATTCATCTGATATAACTCGTTCGAGGGTAACTAAAGACTTATCGTGGTTATTATAACGTTATCAGATGTAATGCTTTTTTACGTAAAAAATAAAAACATTCATGTGAACGCATTTCCGCCTTGACATTATACTAAAGGGGAGCAAGTGGAAGATATATTTAATTTAATTCATCCAAAATTTAAGACCGGATTACCAAATACTAGTTCGAAAATCCTGCATCTTTTCTTCACTAAGTAATGAAGAAATTTAATCATTTGTGGATGACACATTCATTTATGGTATTTGAATGATTTGAATGATAAAAGTATATGAAAATGTCGGGTTAATAAATTATGCAGTTGAACAAAAAAAGGTTGCAACGAGCACATTTGGCCTTAAACGGTTATGGTTGTTTTTTGTCTTTTCGGTTTTTATGCCCGTAAACATTTTTGTTTAATTTTTAGCTATCCAAATATTTTTTTGAAAAAGTTTTTTCACAGTAACGTATCATGCACTCGGAAATCGGTATTTTACATTTTTCAAGATGATCTTGGTCAACCTGTCATAATACTTTTTTTTACATTTTCATGTCATTCTTTATATTATTGATTGTGGCAATAACCAAAATTATAATTTGTATCTAACAATATTTTGCTTAAGGTGAACGTCCACAGATGTCTGGCTTAGGTACAGTAACAGTTTATAACGATGTGGTCTCAGTTGGAAATGTTTTAGCTACAATAACAACAACTGATAATGATTTAGAGGACGCTGGAAGCCTGACTTTGACAATGGAATCATCTACCAACAGTGGCACAAATTTTTTTGAGGTGGTTTCGGGTTAGTAAGACGAATCATGTTTAATCATACTTTGCCTGTATTTACAAAAGGTCTTATCGGTTATAAAAGGCATCGTAAACCATTTGTTCCTCTTGTAAAATGCCTGAATAAAATAGAGGTGAATTCCATCCCAATTCATACTTATAAAACTATTATTGGTCTTTTATTTTCAGCACTAAATAGGTAACGTAAAGCTGGTTCATTGATACCCTTGAATGCTACTTAACAATATGATATCAATAATAAATCAAGAAGATAAGCACACGAATCAAGAAAACTTGCACGAATACGATGTGTCTGTATCTCAACTCACGATCGACATGTGTTCGCTAGATACTAGAATAGTCGTCTGATCTGTTATGTTACCGGTTGTGTCCTATACATTTAGAGTGCTGATACACAACTAATACACAACTGATACACAACTTTCGGAGTTCATTCGATTCACTCGGTTTTTGTTTTACCTAGATTTTTATGTTCGTAATCGATTTATGGAATTTGAACATCGGGAAACTACTGTCATCTAAATTGAAAAAAAATATCTTATTGTAAAATATGGTGAAAATGATAGAAGAAATTAGTATGAATAGATAGTTGTTTGAGAAAATGAAAACAAGACAAAATGAACGTGCTAATGAATTTCTGTCAAACGAAAAATTATGTCGTGTCGTTGATGGTGTGTTCCTATGTAATAAATCTCACTCTTATTGCTGTTCAAAGGCTTAACTCAAACGTAATATGAAAAAAAAACCTTTAAATTGACTTTATTACAGTTTAATCTTGAGATCAGATCTTAAACCTTACTAACAATAATTGAAATAATATGTCGATCTAATGAATCAATATAAATAAGAAGATGTGCTATAAGTACCAATGAGACAACTCTCCATCCAAGTCACAATGTATAAAAAGTTAACAATTATAGGTCAAAGTACGGCCTTCAACACGGAGCCATGGCTCACATCGAACAGCAAGCTTTACAGGGCCCCAAAATTAATGGTGTAAAACAATTCAAACAGGAAAACAAACAGTCTAATCTATATAAAAAACGAGAAACGAGAAACACCTATGACCCACACCAACAAACGACAACCACTGAACAACAGGCTCCTGACTTAGGACAGGTGCATAAAACTTCAGCGGGTTTAAACGTTTTAACAGGCGCCAACCTTCACCCTAACCTGAGACAGTAGTGTAACATTACAACATAAAAAGACACACTATAAAATATCAATTGAAATGGTTTAACTCGGTCAGTCTTTTTTAACTGGTTTTTATAGTTTGTTATTATGTTGCGCTTTTACACCACTGTCCCAGGCTAAGTGGAGGGTTTTACATGTTTTACCTCGCCACATTCTGTATGTGTCTGTCCCAAGTCAAAAGCCCGTATATAAGTTGTTGTCGTTTGTTGCTGTATATCATATCTGTTTTTCGTTTCTTGTTTTGTACATATATCAGGCCGTTACTTTGCGGTATGGGTTGTGCTCATTGTTGATGGCTACACGATGACGAATAGCTGCTAACATCTAAGCCATTTGTTTATTGGTGGATAGGTGTCGCATTGGCAATTATACCACATCTCCTTACTTTCTGTTATAGGCATTATTCAAAGTAACAACACATCAGTTAGAGGCAATAGTACTTTATCGATGTACAAACCTGGTGATTCAATATCAAATATACAAATTAAGATACGGAAAGTCCCCAAAAACTGACAGAATCACAGTAACTACACACAGAGCAAGACTGGTGCTTTGAAAGGACAAATATTTAATGATAATGGAAACGTGAATATGTTAACGTGTTGTTATTTTCGTGATTTTAATTACAAAGATTCTTCGCGCAGGGGTTAAATGCGCTCATCAACGAGATTCGCACATGTATTTTCGATCGATTAATATTAATGTTCATACTATATGATTTTAAGATGAAATTCGAATAAAAGCTTTGTCACATGTGACTATATAATAAATTCGTGTAGCAATACTCAAAGATATATATATATATATATATATTGGATTAAATGTTCTGCCTGAAGCAATTCATACCGAATGGAATTGAAATATGTTGTGAAGTTGATTCCCATTACTATTCTCTTGATTGCTGTTATGGACTTTTAGATCTAGGAGCTTTCTGATATTCTTAGTTTTTTCTTCAAAAAATCTTTCGAAATAACTTGCGTAAAGTTACGGGAACACAAATATGTTTTAAATTTTATTTTAAAATCAACCCATACTATCCTTTATGGATTGTTTTAAAATACATATATAAGTAAGCAATGAATGTGATTGTTAAATTGGATAGATGCTTTTTGTGCTTCTTTGTTAAATGTTTATTTGTTTTGAGATTGTGACACAGTGATGACTGCTGCACCCATATTTTGACAATGTTACCTATAATGCCTGTTTTGTTCACGCGTCGTTGTAAATATAATAGAATTTGATGCGACTGTCATACAAGTGAGAGGTTTAGCGCTATAAAACCAGGTTCAATCCACCATTTTCTACATTTGAAAATGCCTGTACCAAGTCAGGAATATGACAGTTGTTGTTCATTCGTTTGATGAGTTTTATCATTTGATTTGCCATTTGACTCAATCATTACAAGCTTTATGTTATGTAATTTTAGATGAAATAAGAGTAAAAGCTATACCACCTGTGAATACATATAATCTACAGCTCAAAGTAGAGGATCCGTGCACCCGATCACGAACCGGAACAGAAATTATTGATATAGTCAATAGAGTAAGTTTCAGATATTGTAGATTAAAATACAAAAGAAATTGTTTTCTGTAAATTTTGTGGAAAGCAACTTTAAAAGGTCATATAACAGTATGAGATACATTGTGTATATTAACCAATTAGGCAGTAACAATTCAGTTTTATCGGACCGAAAAAGTGAAAAGGTGGAACCTGAAGAACTGAAATCAATATATTCCTCTTCATTTACTATAAAAATCTAATTGTTGCTCCTGTGTATTGAACAATCCTATTGTTAATGTATCGAGACGTATGAATGTAATATCAAAAAGTAACTCTCTCTTAGTTGTATGCGTTATATTCTATTCATATCTATATTGTATTTCATTCTAAAACTTTTACTATAGTGTAAGTCTACCATGTAGTGATACCATTTAGTGAGTACTTTTTAATCCTGATATACATCTATTGCATTGGTTAGAGGTCATCTATCAGCTTTCATGACCAATTTCACAGGAAATTTATTTCAAATCAAGGCTTTTTTATTAGTCATTTAATCTTATCTAAATTTCATAGTATCATAGATTCAAATGTGTACTTTTAGGTTAAACAATATTGTGGTGTATTTTTGAAACTGTTAACAAATTTAAAATGCTTATCGATGGCTTAAAAATTCAATTTTGACAGACTCTGAGTATTTGACAAAATATGTTTTAAAGGGATCTGCTTACTCAAACTAGAATTATGTGGAAGTTAAAGCAAAATATCTGTTGAATACAAATTTAACTAAGACGTCCTTTAATTTGAAATCTAACAAAAACATGTAGAACATTGTAACAAACAGCAATATGTAAGGCTGAATATCATTTTTATGTATTTGAAATATGTAAAAGTGTTCATAAATTGAGTGAGAATATCCAATGGACTCTTTAATACTTAAGTAACATCAGGTTTAAACAATTTTCAGGTTTTGAGCATATAAATGAAATAAATAACTCTTTTTTATGTGAAGGGAAAGTTATGCATGGCGTTTTCTAAGAGATTAGAATTTTTTTATTTAAATTCCATATTCACATGGTTTATTGGTGGTTTAAGAAACCGCGGTCGTAAGATATATACATTTCTTAATCATAAGCGGCATTACCAATACTCTTGTTTAAAATACAAGAATGTGTTCAAGTGAATTCAAATAATCGAATTCAATTAAGACAAGATTAATGTGGATTTAAATGCCGATGAATCTTTTCAAATATTAAATCCTAACATTATTTTTCCAACTGTAAACTAAGATTGGCTAACTTTTCAGCTTCCTGTTATCAACAACCTTCCCGATTCTGTATCAATATCTGAAGATACTGCGGACAATACATTGATATTTACAATTGATGCCACAGATACAGTAACAGACCCACTAACATGTAAAAAGAAAGGTGGAGGAACTGTGCCATTCTCTGTCGCTCAAATACCAGGTTCAACAGGTAATCATTTATTATTACGGAAATGCTATTCATCCAGCCAGACGATTGATATAAAGAAATTTTTACCGGTTGAAAAAAATGCGTATGCAATTAGAATAACTTGTAAGTGCCACCGTTTAATTTCATTTGAATTGCAGTGCAATGTAAACTTCACAAAATATTCCGGCAACGCTCCAGCAGCGCCTGCCAATGGGGTTTATTTCTACCAGTTGATACGCAAATCCAGGTATTTCTTTTAGTTTCTGGTTTCTTGAGAGATACTCGCAGAATATAAGAAAACGTCTTAAATAATGGTTTATTACGGTGAAGTGGAGGTAATCATTAAATTACTTACATGAGTAACAGAACGGTGCAAGATGTGGAGCAGGATTGTTCTACCTACGGTTTTGGTGGGATTCGTGTTAGTAAGAATTTGGTATTCTACGATGTATTATTTAGAATGTTGTTTGTCCTTTGGTTATTTTTCATTTTTGTTGCCATTGCGTTGTTATAATTGTTTGGTATATTCCGCATATTTTAAGAATTCTCATTTTTGTTTGCATGAAAAAAATCACTTTACGCGTGGTTGAACTCGAGAGATGTTTATGATTTTAGATTTTTTTTATTTGCATTTATTAGTTCTTTATTGATGTTATCTATACAATCAATATTAATGGAATATAACTTTCATTATTTTTTTATATTGTTGTCATCTTGTCAGGTAAGGTAAAGCAACACAGAGAGTCTACAAACACGGTATTTAAATATATCAAAATTAATTGAATTAGCGTTAAAAAATTGAAACAATTCAGAAGTTTTTAATGGTGAATATACGGTAATTGAAATCGAAATTGAATCACCGACGCTGTTTGTCGAGTTATTGATATGCTGACATTTAGTTAAAATTAAGAATCACTATTAATTCAGTCATGGTTTCTAAAATTGAAAACCAAACCAAACTTGTATTCCGCGGCAATGATACAGTAGTAAACTGAAATACCCTTATTTTGCATGATTTAACAAACTTAGCTTTGACACTACATCGGTCTACGGGGTCGGTTATAAAAGCAGGTGGTGCTGGGCATTGTAATACATACATTGAATCTATATTTCTACCACTTGTTTTGATGCTTTGTCATGGGGAAATCTTGGAGGCACTTTTCATCTAATAATCAGTTCTATGGCGTTGGCAAAAACTAAATAATACATTTGAATTATAAACTGTTATAAATGTTTTAATTGTACTGAAACTAAGATAGAAAATCCCTTGGAAAAATAAACTTTCAACGATTTTGGTTGTTCTGATTAGGAACGTTCTGTTTATATGATTTCGAATAATATTTTTCATTCATATTTTCTTAGTATATCTGTCTCTGAGGGTATCACCAGTCCAGTAGTTAGCACTTTTGCGTTGACATGAATTATCATTGATATTGTCATATTTATAAATTAACTATTTACAAACTTTCAATTGTTCAAAATACTAAGGACTTTCTACTCAAGGAATAGATTACCTAAGCTGAATTTTGGCAAAACATTTCAGAATTTGTGGATATCAGCATTATTCAACTTTATTTATGTCGTTTTTATATTTTTTTGTTCGAGCGTCACTGATGAGTCTTTTGTATACGGAACTCGCGTCTGGCGTAACAAATATAGCCTGGTGTCTTTGATCAGTGTGTTTTATTGTTTAATTGATGGAGGTTGTTCCAGAAAAACATGTTTTAAAATAAGTCACGTATTATATTACACTTACTCAGACTGTTGAAATTTTAATTTTTTATTCTCTATTTCAATAGTGTTGACATATTGTTAAGTGTTCTTTTTCATTAACTCTCGATGTTAGATGAGTGCTTAGTAGCTGGTTAATACAGTGTAAATTATAGGACTTACCTGTGAGGTTTGCTCTTATATACTGCTATCTCAATTGTAATACGACATATTTAAGTAAAATTCAATTAGCAAACCAGCATTAAGAGGACTTCATGTTTTTATCTTTGATACGGACCAATCTACTTTCAGGTAAAAAATGAAATTAATATGTAAGCACAATTGATTAAAAGTTAACATCCACAAAATAACAGGGAACAATAATAAAATTCAGCAAGAAATTAATTGGGCCTTTTATACTAGATCTCCTTATTTATATTAAGTGAAAATTGTTTTGATTCTTTGTTTTAAAGATTACGGAGTATATAAGAACTCGGGAGTCTTACTTAACTATGATACAAATCCATCATATACAGTAACAGTAGAATGTGATGACTTAGATGACAAAGTGGAAGCTGTTCTGACTATCAACTTAATCCAAAATCAGGCAAATATTTACTCAATGGTTATAATTCATGGAATGGAACATCATTTTACTTATTTTAGTGTATAAAGATTGAAGGTCTCGTAACAGTTTAGACTCTTTTATATATATATGTATATACAGCCCTTGGATGGTGTAAACTTCCCAAAAAAAACGTGTATGGTGTAATGGTGTATGGCATATGGTGCAATGGTAGAAGGTGTATAGTGCTATGATGTATGGTGTAAGGGGAATGGTGTAATGGTGTTACGTGCGATCGGGAATGGTGTGAATGAATGGTGTATGACATTTAAAACTATGCAAAATATTGATAAGAACTTATTTTTAATTTTATACATTAATTTACAATATTGGGATCAAAATTCGTTTTTTAAAATAAATAAATAATTTTGTAGTCGCACGATTTCTTTGAAATTAAATTGCATTATGGTGTAATGTGTAAGGTTTATGGTGCAAAGGTGTAACGTGTATGGTGTAATGGCACAGGGTGTATGGTGTAATGGTGTAATGGTGTATGGTGTAAGTGGGAAGTTTACACCATCCCAGGACTGTATATATATATATAAACAAGTCTAAATTGACAACGACGTTCAAACCTATGATTGCGTTGGATAAAAACTGCAATTTTTATACGTGTGCATGCAAAACAAATGTCTTGGTAGAGGGGTCTAAATACAGCACAAACAACATTTTCCAAAAGACCAAATGAGTGAAAAAGTATATTTTAACAAAACGCATTTGACTAACAGGTGGAACAACTGATGTTCTTAAACCCTGTTGACTGCCATTGGCGATTGCCAAATAAACGGATCACAAGATGTAACAAAATATATCTTATTATTAATTTATTACCAAACAGTAAACAATAAACTTGCGGAAAAGATGGTATACCGCAAACATGAGGTGCAAAAATTTGTACACCATATCCGGATTTCGACAATTAATGTCTCTTCAGTGATAAAAGGAATCGAAACGGTATTTGGAAGGCCATATAATTTACCTCAATTTAGGATAGACTCTTGAATTTTGAAAGAGTCAAAATAGGATGAACGGATCATATAAACCCGAAGGCAAATATAATACAAGTCCAAACGAAAAAATATAAACAGGTCTAAATTGAAAATATATATACATGTATATATATATATATATATATTTATATAAGTAGAATACAGCATTTATCTTTTTACCAAAAAAAATAATAAACACTCGTATAATTTGACATTATAAATAATTGATGGCATACTACCTATAATTTGTCAAGCGTGTAATTTACTCTTACTGTGTCTTTGAATGTCATTAATCACTTTTCAAAATCCTTCAAACTTGAAGTGGCCTCATCCTTAACTCCTTGCATAAGTTCATAAGAAACATATCATTGATAATTTGTTTTAATTAGCACGTGTGTTTACACGCTCGTTTACGGGAACATATTATAGTATACGGTTGTCGTTCCGTTCGTCTGTTGTCAACATGTCAGACAATCACTCAAAAACGCTTAAACCAATTTTTAATGAAACTTTGGTGAATTGTTTATATATATTGACGTAAGCTCCCTTTCAATTTTTATAAATGTTAGATTTTACGTTTCCGAGTTATGGAATTTTATTCCTGGGGGATTTTCCAGTTTTCTGACTATAACTCAAAAATTGCTTTGAAAAATTTTGGTAAAACTTTGGTGAATTGTTTATATATATTGACATAAGTTATTTTCGATTTTTTAAAATATTAAATTTTTATTTTGGAGTATTGGGACTCTATTCATAAAAAAGTTTTTTTTCCCAGTTTTCGGACGATAACCAAAAATTGCGTTGAGCAGTGTTCATGAAACTGTGACTGGTTTATATCTATGAAAAATAAACTCCCTGTAGTTTTTATTTTTTTTTATAAATTTCTAATACGACATTGAGGAGTTATGGAACTTTATACATTGAAAAAGCGACGGGCGTATCATGCGATCATGGCGTTCGTTGAAAAAGCGACTGGCGTATCATGCGATCATGGTGCTGCTCTGTATTTAAATGCGTTGTACACAACTTCTAATATTAAACGAAAGAATAATAAAAATTCACTGTTCTTATACACAAAATACCAAAATACATTACTAACAGCTATGAACAACATAAAGCAGTAAGTTTCAAAATGGTCAATATAAACAACCTTTCGAATTTAATCTAATATAAGTTTTTGGTCTTATTTATTTACATAATTTAAGATAATAATAAAAAATCGGAAAACTATGATTAAATATATAGAGCACTCTAAATTAGTTCATGATTTCTTCTCTTTACGTAGGCTCCCGTGATCCAGAGTTTACCTGACAGTGTTAACTTTCTTGAGGATCTCAACACCAATACTTTACTCCATACACTGACTGTAACTGACGCGGAGAGTGACACAGTTACATGCACGCTGAATCCAACAAGTACTATATACGATGTATCGTTTATTCCTCCTTCAAATACAGGTTTGTATTTACTGGCTTTGTTTTTGCACTTCTACATGTGTATAAAGGAACGTTTATGCTTCCGTACAAAAAGGGGCTTACTGTACAATAAGCCTAATTTTGGTAACACATGATGCTTTAAAAATATACTGTTAAGATCCTAAAGTTCAATTGATATATTTTTAAAGTCTGTTATCTACGAGTTTTTAGAATGTTGATGCGTTTGGTGCGTCCTTAATAAAATTGTTTTAAAAAATAGTTCCAAGTTTGCGTATGTACATACCCGATAAATTATTTTGTGTTCAGTTTGATCAGAATCATTTAACAGAAATATTACCTTTTAGTGTGACTTAGAATAGTGGTTGATCACCAATACCATTTTAGTATACGTGAAAATAGAGTTGTCAGTTAATGAGAGTAATGAAAAAGGTGAAAAGAGGGAGAGGGAAGGGGGGGGGGGTGTAATTACATGGTATGACTAACAGAAGCTACATGTTCGTGGGATTTATTGAAATTTTTAAGCAGAGTTATATAAATGAAGAATAATTTACTGATATTTTTCTCCGTTAGTAACCATTTTAGTCATTGACCTTACTGGATTTTTCAGCAGCATTAATTTTCATAACCAGGGGGTTTGTTTGGTGGGATAGGGGTCAGATTAGTAAAACATTTCTTTTTTTTTATTTCAAAACAGATGATTAGCTTCTGCTGTTTTATTTTCAAATAATTCTAAAATATTTATTTACTTTTCTATATGTTTGTCATTGGAAATTTGGATAAAACATTTGTTGCGTTTGGAGCAAGTGTTTTTCAGCAAACAATCGGCATTCCTAAGGGAACAAACTGTGCCCTTCTTCTTGCCGACTTGTTCCTTTATTCATATGAGGCTGACTTACAAGAACTTCTTAGAAAGAAAGAAAAGAAGTTAGCAGTATCCTTTTACTTTACTTTCCGCTATACAGATGATGTTTGGTGACTTTGTTGAACGCATCTATCCCATCAAACTTAAGATAAAGGATACCACAGATGCAGTTTAGTCTGCCTCATATCTTGACTTACATTTAGAGATGGATAATGAGGGTCGGTTGAAAACAAAACTTTACGACAAAAGAGATGATTTCAGCTTCCAAATTGTGAACTTTCCATTTCTATGTAGCAACATTCCAGCATCGCCTGCATACAGAGTATATATCTCCCAGTTGATACTATATTCCAGGACTTGTGTTTCCTATCATAATTTCCTCGATATAGGGTTGCTGTTCACAAGAAAGATATAAAACCAAGAATCCAAGTGGTGAAGTTGAAATCATCCCTTCGTAAGTTTTACGGACGCCATCAAGAGTTGGTTGACCGTTATGGAATATCCGTTTCACAGATGATAGCGGATATGTTCCTAAAGTCGTTACTACAATCCCGTCCCCTTTTCCCGAATGTGACCTACCGAATTAGACTTATCACCGGGTTTGTACTAACATGAGCAACACGACTTTGCATGCAACGTGTTGAGCAGGATCTGCTTACTCTTCCGAAGCACCTTGGATCACTCCCAGTTTTTGTGGGTTTCGTGTTGCTCAGTCTTTAGTTTACTATTTTGTGTTTTGTGTACTATTGTTTGTCTGTTGGTTTTTCTTTTTAGCCATTGCGTTGTCAGTTTAATTTCGTTTTATGAGTTTGAATGTCCCTCTGGTATCTTTATCCTTTCTTCTGTAATGTCTAGTAGATAGTTATAATTTATGTTTCGTATATTCAAATGTCACAAGAAAGAAAAGATTAACCTCCAATAATACACATATCGTTTCATGTCATGTGCAGGATATGGAATCTATCTGACAGGCGGAACAACTCTCGATTATGATACAACTTCGTCGTACACTTTATCAGTGAGGTGTAGTGATGTTAGACGAAGTGATACGGAGAGTTTCACGGTCAATCTGATACGAAACACGGTAAATATTTTATACTGATTATTCTAAACACCACAAATACAAGACCATCAACTGCAGTATTACTGTACAACAGAACATGCTCGTCCATGTACTGATTACAAAGAAGATTTATCCAAAATTTTCCTCATGGGAGAACACTTCCTTTCATTTGGCACATTTTTTTCCATTTTTTTCCATAACATTTTTAAGGACTATTGTTTGACAATATTTCACATTAAGACATTAGAAGCAACGGTACAACGTCTTGAACAGAACTTGTTACTAATTTGTGAATACTTCTTTAATCTACAAACCTTTACTTTACCAAAAAAAAAAGTGTATGAGTATTTAAGGTTGTATTTTGGATGATATTTATTATTTTAATATGCTTTGCTTTGTGGACTGTTGCATGTAGTGTCGTAATCTTTTATTTGCGTCGATTTTCTTCGACGTATCATTTTGAGCTCCCCTTGGTTTCTTCCTTCTAATCAATTATACTTTTAACAGTAATATCTTCTGCGTTAATCTTGTAGTGGTATCACTACTGCAGTAGACCTTTAGAAATTAATAAAAAAAAGCCTAAGTTTCCAATTTGCGCAGGCAAAGTTGACCGTTGTCAGATTGATCTGTTTTTCATGTTACTTTTTACAATTAAAATATAACTTATACAGTCTTTGCTTTCAAACGTTTTTGAAGGAACATATTCGTGAAAAGACACTTTGGAGACGCCGGATGTTTTGCATTTGAACTAGTTTCAACTGTGTTCGTTCTTTTTTGTTTTCATTAATAACATTTACGGTACCCATATTTCTGCACCAGTTGCGTGTTTGGACAATAAATGTCCGAAGCCAGAATATATGAAAATTATACAGTTTAAGGTTCTTTTTTTTATCAGAGCCACTGAACTCGGCTCACAAAGAAGGTGCCAAATGTATTAAAAGTTATATACTCTTAACAGTAGTAACTATGCTTACAAACTAAATTTAAGCAGATGCACATAAAACATATATTACTCTCAAATTTACCTCAGATGAATTTGACTTTTCTTTTTAGGTTCCGTATCACTAAATAGCTTCTTACATTTTAACGTATCTAAACATCAAAGTTTTTCGAATTTTTAAGTTTTAGCGTCCCTGATGAAGGCAAACCCACAAACGCGCTTCAGCCGCACAATATATATAAAATGCTTCTTTACAAAAATGAATATGTTTGACCTTAACTTACAATCTCATTTTGTGGTAATTTGTTTAGATTTCTGTTTATTAGTTGATTAGAAACAACTGAAATTATCGCATTTGAAATATGAAGTAGCCATTCTAGTTCCTACAATATGGTTCTACTACTAATTATTGAATTCCTTATCGAAGTAAAGTTTTTGGTTTTGATTACTGACGTCTTATTAAAAGTGAAAAGTTTTGTGTTTCTATTTATCCAAATATGTGCAGTCTACAAATAGCTTAGGGAGATAAAAATACAAATATAGCCGATCGCTTTAATGTTGGCTTTTAAATTGTATTTTAGGAGACAATAGATCGTACGATGATGATTATACTGAACATATCTAAGAACAGGAATAAAAGCCCTGTTCATTGATAAATTTCTATGTTTTCTATGTTTTGTGTGCGATTTTGTGCCATGTACATTTGCTCTATATCCTTTCATTTTCTATTTCTTCTTATAATCTCGTACGCTGGTACATAGCAACAAAACCTTAATGAACATAAATGTAACGCTGTATGAAATACTCTTAAATTTTAGCCACCAGTCATAAACAGTTTACCAACAACCGAAAGTATATCAGAGGACCTCAACACTAGAACATTAGTTCATACTCTGAACGTTACAGATGTCAACTCAGCAGATACTGCCAATTGTGCATTTAACCCAAACAATGCATTATTTGAAATAAGTAAAATTCAACCAGCATCAGGTTTGTACTTTTTCAGTATGTTATACTCTTTTAAACACTAAGAATTATAATTTGTTTCCTCTGGCTGAAACGGGAGTTTGATGAGAAGTGCAATGCTGTCTGTTTTATATCTGCAATCTTATTTTAGAATAACTCTCTATAATTCTATCAATTCATTTCTATTCACTTTGCAAAGTGATTTAATGTAAATCAGTGTGAAATAAATTGCTTCTTTATCATATGCCCTTAACCCTAACAACACATTGTTTGGAATAATTAAAATACCCCCATGAATTTAATGTGTTCTTTTCAAATACAATTTATACTCTGTAACAGAGAAAGTATAATAAATACATAAATGCTATCAGTAAATAGGTTTTTTGAGAATTGCATTGCTTTCGTGTTATATCTGCGGTCCTTATTTTTTTTTAAACGGCAATATGCTACGCGAAAGAAAATTAATTCTCTGATATCTTATTGTAGATTATATAAATAAGAAGATGTTGTATGGGTGCCAATGAGATAACTCTCCATCCAAGTCACAATGTATAGAAAAGTAAACAATTATAGGTCAAAGTACGGCCTTCAACAAGGAGCCTTTGCTCACACCGCACAGCAAGCTATAACGGGCCCCAAAATGACTAGTGTTGTTTTGCTATATTTGTTTATCTATACATAAATTGTTCATAACTGAACTTTTACATTTTTTATTTAGATAAGTAAAGTGGATACAATTCGACATGCATCACGTATCTTGAATTTATGAGTGACTTCATAATGTTTTATGTTGATAATTTGTTTTAGCAAATTATATATCTACTTACAGTTGATTATGGAGTTTTTCTAGCTGGAGGGACAATATTGGACTATGATGTCACACCTTCGTATTCTTTAAATATTGAATGTGCCGATCACAGGAGATCTGTCTCAGACGTCTTGACAGTTGCAATCATTCGAAACGAGGTAATACTTCATTAGAAGTTGACAAAAACACCTAAATTCTGGTATAAAATACATACCTGAGTTTTACATGAACCTTTGAACGTAACTACAACAGAATCTGTTGACATATGGCCACATAAGCAAATGAGAAAAAAGTTCATGCTTGCTAGTTCAAATGTTTCGACAAATGTTTTTCATAGTATGACAAAAATATGTCCTCGTTATAAATAAGAAGATGTGGTATGATTTTTTTCAATGAGACAACTCTCCACAAGAGACAAAATGACACAGAAATTAACAACTATCGGTCACCGTACGGCCTTCAACAATGAGCAAAGCCCATACATATATATATATAGTATTGGTATGCATCGTCTATGTCACCTGTAACCAGATAATTTGTTACCTAGACTTCTTTCTTGGTAACATTGGTACATATTTTCAAATATCATTGTTTTGGCAAAAAAGGAATACTATAAGTTATTTGATAAAATCTAATTCTGAAATACACATGGAGCGTTATAAATATTATTACTATTATGTATTTCACTTCCAATAGTAAAATTTTCAGAGCTTCATCTAAAGCTGTAGTATTTACTTTATCCAATTCCTTTTCTACTAATTCAGGATCGGTCGGAATGAACATACAAGAAAGTAGGTAGCACATATTTTAAATGAAATATTTTGTCAAATCGGGGCCTTTTATAGCTGACTATGCGGTATGGGCTTTGCTCATTGTTGAAGGCCGTACGGAGACCTAAGTTGTTAATTCAATTGTCATTTGGTCTCCTCTGGAGAGTTGTCTCATTGGCAATCATACCACATCTTCTTATTTCTATATAAACGCATATACGTACTTTGAAAATAGGTAAACCATTTAGGGAATTTTGGTATAATATGAAAGGTCAGGGATTTGGGATCACTTGTTTGAAGTTTCTTTTGAATAATAATAAATATTTTTTGTACTACCAAACATTCAGGAACTAGTGCGCTTTTATATGCAATGACAGGTATGTTGCATCTATTAGCATAATCAAGGGTAATGTATAATTTTGACATGACTTGACTTTCACTTTATGTTTACCGAAGACACAGTATCTATGAGTGCTTGAAATCGCAAATTTGATCATATAAAGCAATTGGGCTATGCATGATTTTTATTCTTTCTACAAAAAGCTCAGTTAAATGTGGGAAATATAGATATTTGATAATTTTAATGTAATTTTTGGGGTTTTTCTTTTTTTTGTATTTTTTTTTTTGTTGTCGTTGTTGTTTTGACATTGGTCTCTTTTACCAAACAAAGCCATTTCAAAGGATATGTGAAGTATGTTGATATCGTTGTCAAGTCTTATCTAAAAAACAGTATTCACTTTCAACAATTTCGAACGTCTTCCAACTTTAGATTTTCAGTAAAATTGAGAATGGAAATGGGGCATATGTCAAAGAGACGACAACCCAACCAAAGAGCAGATAACAGCCATGATGTTCATGATTTCTCTGATGACGCGGAATTGTACCACAAATAACCTCCTTTTCTCCATGTAATCATATGACATCATGAGAATCATTATCTAATTTGTGACGTCAGATTTTTTTCTCAAGTAACGCCAAAAAAGCGGAAAAGTATTGATTTCTGTAATGGGTTGGATGCGCAGGGTAATTCATATGTATCAATACCATATTGTATAATGGACTCCAGACAAAATACAAAACGTGTACTGAAGTAAGTAGACATGATTAAAGTTTGTTATATCATGACAAAAGTGTCACATTTCACAAAACTATGCCATTCTTACGAAAAAGACATTTGACTAAAGATATCTTTGTATAAGATAAAGTGTGTTAAAATAATATTTATGCAAGGTTGTTGTTCATATCTAAATAATGTTGGAAATTTTTTAATATGAGGCAAATTGCCGATTTTAGCAGTGTGCTTGCCTAAGTGTCAGATTTTCCAAGGCCTCAAGTAACAATGGAAGATAATATGAAAATATGTTTACTGACAGGCTTCTAAAAATCCAATTGATAAAATGTATTTTTTTAATTGGAATATTTGGACTTTAGTCATAATTTGGTTAATTTTGCGCTTAACATGAACGTGCAACATGCTACACACAAAAATAAGACAGTTCAAAAACAAATTAATAATGCGTTGTTTATTGTATCTTAAAGAAATATATCTTATAAATATTTAAAAGATGACATTTTACATGGTAGACATATAATATCAAATTTATTTACAAAATTCCTCGTTTGATGTCAAATCTTTAAGCTTTTTTGTTTAAAGATAAGTAATTATAAGATACTACAATAACAATGCGTAGAAGATTGTTATACATGAAGGCCCTGTTGGCAACAAAAAAAAAACTAAACTTTTACGTTCAAAGTTTAAGAGTAATAAAATATTTATCGGCTGTACCTTAATCACATGTTTGCTTCGCATCACGGGGCGAAGCTATTAGTGTCATAAGATATTCACGCCATCTTGAAATTATTACGTAACACATATCGGTTCTCATTGGTTGCCTTATGATTTTGGATAGATTCTATTGGCTAGAATGAGATATAGAATAAGGAACATGTCCCGGACTGGTGAAGATATCAAATACGGATAATTTACAGTATAGATATTCACGATCTGATCACAAAGGTTATATTGGCTACAATGAGATATAGAATTGGGAACATGTACCAGACAGGGGAAATATCAAATACGGAAGATAAGGAATAGAATTACATTATGGGTATCCCAGACATTGTTGCTACATATTGACGTAATTTATGATAGTGCAAAGCAATACATACCTTTTAGAAATGTTAAACTTGTGAGGTCTTTAGTTTAAAAACTTTTGGGTCAAAAAAAAATTGTCAATAGTTATAAATACATTTTAAGACAACAAATTGGGCTTTAAAACTTAAACAATCAATATCAAACATGAATGTCTGATATGTTAATTATCAAAATGGTTTTTCTAGCGCCACTGATGTGTCTTATGTAGGCGAAACGAGCATCTAACTTGCAGAATTATAAACCTGGTATCTGGCGATGATTTTTTTTTTCTACTGACTGTCAAGCCGTCCACAAAAATTCAATACCTATCTTACCACTGACGAGTCTTATATACACGAAACGCATATCGCGAGTATCGAATTATAAGCCTATCAAGATTTTTACAACCACTGTGTTGATGCCACTGCTGGTGTAAATTTCGTCCACAAGGGTATTGCCAGTCCAGTATTCAACTCTTTTGTGTTAACATGAATATCTTTGATAGCATCGAACGCTCATATATGGTAACACTAAACAACAATATGCAATTATGACCCGTAGAAAAGGTGAAAATCAAAAATTAAAAGGTTATTTTCCTGTGGGCGCATCTTCTAAAGAGACAGAATTGTGTTTTTACACCGAACTAACAGTACAAAAGTAGTAGGCATTTTTAACCATTGAAAATACCAGTAAGAAGAAGCACATGTCTACTGTGGTAACAGATTATCAACACACTTACGGTAGAGAAGAATTTTGTGTCATAGACTGCTTCGTATGTGTATAAAAAAGGTAGACACCCTCTGTAAAACATTGATGTTACGACAAGGTTGTTTATGAAAGTTATCATTGGCACTAGATGAAAGTGCAAACTTTGTCACTCGATAGACATCTAACCTGGCCGTTGCAATTTTGTTTACATACGTCTGTGACATCATTTTGGATGGTAGATAACTCATGTATACATTGAAAGAGTTAAAAGGTTATTCACCGTTGAAAAAAAAAAAAATAATTCATCGCCCATTGTTATATTTAAGGTTATTTGCCATTACTTGTATTTGAATAAAAATGAACCAAACTATTTCATTACACGTGATATGTGTATTACCCAATAACATTGTATATTAGATATGTAAAGTATATTTATTTGGATGGTTTTAATTGAATTCATATAATTTAGGAATTAAACATTCGGACAAAAAGAATAATGAAGGAAAAAAAACAAGATATTTTCTATAGAACATAAAAGATTTTGAATCTGAATTTGTCCATTAAGTTTAAACAATTTCCATTTCTGTAATGACATGTGAAATATTGTTGCTCTTGTGCTTCAGCCACCAACAATTGTTAACCTACCAATGAGTTCAGACATACCGGAAAGTATAACTTCAGAAAGTTTGTTGTACACCATATCTGTGACAGATCCAACTAATGATACAGTTACATGTGTTATTACAACAGCAACTTCTGTATTCTATCTCCAAACCACATCGGCGCAATTTGGTAAATTTAAAGAGTTTGAAAACATATATATTAGTACAACGCACGGTGTTTGTCAAACAAACAAATAATAACGATGATACTCTTGGAGTTCCTGTATCACAGAAAAATAAATAGGTCATTTAGATGTTAAACTCATTTCGGAGATTACGCAAAATAAAAATTTCAATATTACTAATATAAAAAAGGACTATATTTTCATTTTAGCGGTGCTTTTAGCACTGCCATATAAGCGGGAGGTTTGGCTAGCAATAAAAATTTTACCAAGGAAAAATCAAAACGGAAAGTCATTTATCAAATGACAAAATTAAAAGCTCAAACACATCAAAAGAATGCAAAACAACTGTCATATTCCTGACTCGGTACACGCATTTCCTTATGTAGAAAACCTGGTTTTATAGCCAGCTCAATCTCTCACTTGTATGACAGTCGCATAGAACTCCATTATATTGACAACAATGTGTGAGTAAAACAAACAGACATAGGTAAAAATTTCAAAAATTTAAGTTATTTTATGTAAAATATTGGTACTAACTCATGCAATCTTTCTTTACCTCTCTTATGACATTGAGTGAAAAAAGGGAGTATACATGAATTGAAAGGCTTGCTATAAAGGTGACAGCTTATCTTAAATTACGTATAGATATGCCGATGTTTACTGATTTATATTTAAGTCTGGCAAACATGGTTTATGTTTTAGTTGATTTTGCTATGAACTACCATTCATTAAGTTTTCTTAAATACATACCTTGTGTCTAATAAGTGTCTAATACTGTTATTTTACAGCAACTAAAAAGTTTACAAAAATAGCAATACAGTGTTAACCCAAAACTAGAATTGTTTTGCAACGGAACGAGTGAAAAACTAGCTAGCTAACCCTCCCACTATTATGACAGTTGTTAATTGTTACGATATATTGACAAATTAGGCGAGCAACCTAAAGACATAACAGGTTTATGTGACAATAGTTGGGATGCAGCAGCCAAAAATGCGTAAACATACATCATAGACATACAACACAACCGACTAAAAAACTCAACCAAACATACAAGTAAATCTAACAAAGACACCAACAAAGAAATAAAGTTCTTGATTAACAGAAAAATATCACTTTGTTAGTATATTTAGGAAATAAGACAACAGTAAAGAATTCCAGCTTCAATATGTAATGAAATGCGTTGGTTTCTCAAGAACTTTAACATTTATTAACAGAAACCGAGATATGGGTTCGAGGTAATCAAGGTTTCGTTTATGACACTAAAAGACAATATACCTTAAATATCGAGTGTGCTGACCAGCGAAGAAGTGATTCGGCAGATTTTTACGTTTACATTCTTCGAAATATGCCTCCATACTTTCCAAATCTTCAAGGTAATAATATGGTAATTATGTGTTTGAAAAATCGTTGTAAAAGTTCATTTAATATACCAATCTGACGCCAACGACAGCTTAACATTTTTATTCTTAAGTCTTTTTCGTAGTTTATAATTATTGATTTGTGATTGTTGTATGGTTGAATAATGAACGCAGTAGCTTCATAAACCATGTAAACGTTGTACAGTGTATGTATTGTTTAGCATATTGATAGGGACTATATTTTTTATAATGATACATTCAGTCACTGAAATATTTATTGGTATGATTAATTAATGACAAAATAAATGAAATGTATATGAATGGATTAACAAATCCATTACCAACTCGCGTAGTCTAGCCTATGTGAAGACCCGAAAAGGAAAACTAGTACATACAAGAAGGAAGACCACAGATTCTTGTAAAAACTGAAAAAAAATGCAGACGCACATAATAAATTGAACAGAATAAAAAGATGAGTAAGGTATTGAAAAGACTAGACTCGATTTGATTTGATTTGTTCGTTATTAACTATTTGAAATCGTTATTTTAATTGGTTAACAAGGATTGAAGAGTTTTCAGTCTTGATTAATTTAGTTTTTTATGACTTTAGATAAAACAACCGTTTCGTCTCAGATATCAGCTGTAGGTCAGATCATTTATACTGTACAAAGTGTGGATCCAGAGAGTGACAATGTACAATATTCTGTGTCATCTAACGCTGCCAATGCGCCTTTTACAATCAATCAAAACAGTAAGTAATACAGTCTTAAAAACCTTTTTTATAGTTGTTTTAGATCCATTTAATTAGGCTACAGGAAAATAAATATTGATTTTACCACAATGATAGAAAATTTGAAACATGAAAATTGAAGGACCAAGAGTTGATAAAAATAGAAAAACAGAACAGTGCGTTTTTCTTTTTAGTGTACTGAACAGATTCCGAATAAATCCCAAATACTAGTAGATTATCCTAGTGTTGATTTTTGAAACACAACGTCAGATGTGGTTAAAACCAAGAGGCGGAAGATGCCAAGGAGACAATGAAAATTCGAAGAAAAAAAGACGCTAAAGCAAAAACGGAAAAACGTTTACAATACAAAGAACATTTAAAAAGTTACATGAAAACTAGAGATTGAGCAACACGATCCCTACGCAAAAATCCCATTTTTTATAAGGGTCTTTTGATGTAGTCAAATAGATGACGTCATTAAATGAAAAAAATACTTAACTATGCTGACAGTTCATATGTCTTATAATGTATATTTGGTACGCATTATGGTTGAAATCAAACTGGTAGTCAATATTAACTTGATTATTATTATGCTTTTCGACTCCCTCTAAATACCACGAATTGTAATGAATATACACATTAATATAATTGTCCACTTTATCAAATGCTTTGGAATAAGTATCTGATATTTCAGCTGGAGCTATATCTCTCACCCGCTCTATAAAGACTGAGCTAGTAGCAGGATATGATTTGTACGCCAGTGTATCAGATGGGCGAAATGTGGTGGCTGCGCGATCATTATCAGTTCGTATTACAGGTAAATTGCTTGATCATTGTCAACTTCGTATTGTTGGTAGGTTTATCGATCAATATTAATTCGTATCCCTTGTATATTGCTCGATCATTGCCAGTTCGTATAACGGAAAAGCTGATCAATACTAATCAGTTCGCATTACTAGTAGGTTATAAATTAATGTGATCTACCGAATTAGACTTATTACCGGGTTTGTAGTAACATGAGCAACACGACGGGTGCCACATGTGGAGCAAGATCTGCTTACCCTTCAGAAGCACCTGAGATCACCCCCAGTTTTTGGTAGGGTTCGTGTTGCTCAGTCTTCTGTGTTGTGTTTTGTGTACTATTGTTTGTCTGTTTGTCTTTTTTTCTTTTTTAGCTTTGGCGTTGTCAGTTTATTTTCGACTTATGAGTTTGAATGTCCCTTTGGTATCTTTCGCCTCTCTTATTCATTTTGTCGTTATTATTAGATATAAAACATGTAACACGTTGTGAAAAATCTCTTGACACCAGTTTATTTATGCTTCCATGTGTTTTTATTTTACTTTGTAAAGAACAAGATATGAGATGTATTAGTGGCTTTTTTGGCTTAAAAATTTAAATACTACAAAATGAGGTGATTTTTGAATATAGATAATTGTTATTTATGTGCAAAGTGTAAAATGTTAAGAATATGAAAGAAAAGAATTTACTCCTAGACTGTACGGCCGAAAAAAAGCATAATTATGGTTTTTTTACCACAAATGACAAAAATTGCACATTTTGACACATATATTGAGTCAGAAATATTGAGCATATGAAAGTACTAAATGAATATTTACATAAGAGTCGTTTTTTTCTGACAGACAACCTTCTTCGTGAATTTTTTAGGTTATATTATTTGAATTGAAAACTGACCAAAATCTATGAATGTTCCATAAAAAGGCTTACAATGTTTTTTCACTGAAGACACAACTACATTTGTCATGACGGAATGAATCGTTCATGATCTGTATGCGTGGTTTTTTTTGTATTACCTCTCTTTGAAATAGTCATCAATGGCAAAAGTAGCCGAATAAGGCACTCATTGCACTTCGTCCTTTTGAAATACGTTTTTAATTTTACACGTAAGTTTTTAAATTTCTCGGGCAAACGGGAATGCAGACGATTTAGGCGTTCTTTGTAAATCCCGTTGGTTTTTAAAGCCCTTGTTCAAAAAGTAAATTAGCAAAAATACCAAACTCCCAGGAAAATTCAAATCCCATATTGACTGTTACAGCATTTGTATTTATCCGTTGTTAGCTTTTACAGTTAGCCCTTGTTATATAGCGCCCTTGTATTTATCCCCTATTAGATGTGAAAGCATTTAGTTTTAGCGATTTTGTTTTATCCCACATTGTCACAGCGTTAGGTGATATTTACCCAACGTTGACTGTCACAGCTTTTTTTTATAACCCCACTCCAAGTCCCACTGTGACTGTTACAACTTTCAACTGTATAGCATCCTTGCGTTATCCAAATTTGGTTGTAACAGGTTTTTGTTTTTTGTTTGGATAACTGAATGTTGTCATTTTGTATTTTCATTACTATCATTTTAATTAAGAAGATGGCAATTAAAGCAGAAATCATAGCTGCTCATGATATATAAAAAACACATCCTTGTCCAAAATGAATGATTAAAAGTTAGATTGTTATAAAAGAATTCTATTTAATGAAGATTTGACAAAACTGAGGAAATGTAATCGTGATGGGTGACAATTTTAAAAGAAAAAGAGCTATTGTTCCTTTTTTTTGTTTTGAATGATTTTAAAGTTCTACACAGCTGCTTGTTTACTGTTTTGTCCAATTTGTCAGATGATGCTTTTGTTATGTGATTTTCGATAGATATCGTTCTCATTTACAATTTTTTCACATCTCAATTTATTACTTGTTTTATCTGTTTATAGGTATCAATTTTCCGCCACATTTCCAAGTTCCTTCGCAGACATTAACTGTATTAGAAAATATAAATTCTGGATCGTCCATATTTCAACCAACAATTACAGATGAAGATTTGTCAGACGTTCATACGTTTTCTGCCGTTTATTCTCCCCCAGATGGCGCTGTTTATTTCGGCGTTGACAAATCAAGTAAGATATCCTTTATGATATTTTGATTTCAGATCCTTGCGTTCAGCACTGGATATGCTACTAGAAAATAATGTTAAAATGAATGGAACATATGTACCATTTATCAGGTTTTCTGTATATTGATACTATGAGATATATCTGCAGCGTATCACGATATTCTTGTCGTGTGAGCACAGCGAATTAGTTTAAAAAGGCTTCATATTGTGTCAAGCACCTGACACTTTACCATATGTGCAGTTCGACAATTTATGTATCTTTAGTGATGCTCGAGACATTCCAAAACATTTAAAAATACAAAGCCTAATCAAAACGTTGAAGATATGATAAAAGCAAAATGACAAATCGTAAAGCCAAACCCGGACAAGTAATCGGAGCTTTGCATGAGGAAGATACATTCCTTAATTAAAAAGGATTTCGAAATTTTATAAGCGCAAATTTAAATTAAGACTAACTGTCCACTAATAGAGCATAAAATTTGTCATACTTCTTTAAATGTCTCTCTTCCTAAAGTTTTCTGTAGAGTTTTGCTAAAAAAAACCTAACAGGAACAATAGCGTAAATGACAAGTTTCTCCTTCATACTGTTCTTACTTTCAATCAGTGTCAAAATTTGATAACACTTGGTGGAATTCAAGAATAAGAGAGTGTAAATAATCCACCTAAAATTTCCAAACTTTCACAAATATTCATAAACCAAAATGTCATTCAGCCATACACAGTGCTGTTGAAAACAGTTTCTATAAAGTATTGACATTTAACGTGTTTTTCCTAAAATGTCGAACTGAATCACATCTGAAGAAGAATACATATCTTTACATACATGTTTTCGAATATAATTCTGACATGAAAAATACGTTTAGTACTATACCTTTGTTTTGTTAATTAATGTTTATTACCCACTTTGATGTTAAAAGCGCTTTGACGTTTACATTTTTTGTCAACGTTTGTATGTTGCTATATATTAAAAATCATAAAACATTTTTGTCTTCCAAATGTTGGGAGCGAGCACCACTGATGGATTTTATGTCGACGAAACGTGGCTGATGTACTGAAATATTTGCTTGGTTTCTTTGATTAGTGCTAAAAACAAATATAAAAACAATTATAAAAAAAACTGATGTTTGAATAATAAAGATATTATTACTTTTATGCAAAGCTTGTGAGTCCGCGGCCTAGTTTACACATAAATAACCTCTAGGGAAAATGTGTTTAATCCCTATAATTCTTAATGCACATATTTGCAAATTTTTATTAATATGTTTTTCCCTTAGCCGTCTAATCCACAGTCTAAATGTAGTAACTAAGAAGTGAGCCGCCATCTTGTTAAAATCAATAAATATTTGATTAATGCAGTACAATTGAAAATAAAACAAAAATACCTCAATTCTAATGCGACATTATCCAAATTTGCGTTCGAGAAACGGGATAACCTTCAGCTTTAAAGTTTTTATTCGTATGACGTCATGTTTCCTCATGACGTTAACTGGCCAAGATCAAATATGAAATTTCGCAGAATTTTATTTAATTTTAATTTTTCAAACTCTAATGCATTGTTTCTTTTTGTTATGCATTACAATAGGAAAAATAACTCTTATCTGAGTTCGTTTTCAATTCTGTTTTGGCACCAATGGATCCCATGCATGATTTTCGTATCGCGCATGATCAGATGACAATTGAATCGACATACTGTTTCCGTAGGTTACGAAAGGAGTTTCGATAACATGGTGTAACGAAGTGTAAACCAAGGAAAAAAATTCTAACGGACCAATTCTATTCAAGTATGAGATAGATCTGTAACTTGTATAAGAATTGTACAGTTTTAACAGTAAAATTGGTACCGTTAATGTTATTAAGTAAATAAAGTTATTCCGAAATATTCAGTGGAATTGATTGTATCAGTAATATCAAGGTTGTTTTTTTTCAGCTGGATTAATAAGATCTTTAGTTGATATCGATTACGAAACGATTCCATTCAAGTCATTTTTTTTGGTGGTAACGGGTTCGGATTCTCTGTTGGAAGACACTACGAATATAACATTGAATGTACAGAATGTAAACGAGCCTCCGGTGTTTACAAAGAAGTATTACTCACTTACAACTTCAGAAAATAGTGTAAGTTCATTAGTACTTTACTTGCAATACTTTCATTGATGCTTTTAATGATTTATTTGTGATCTGGTGTATGCATTTCTTATTATTATGCTGTATGGTTTTATGTTCATATTTGTGTTGTGTTTTTGATTATACATGCTGAGTTTTATATAGTCTGTTGTTAGAACTTCAGTGATCCCACGGTACTCTTTGTTTTGTACATATAGAAAGACTCTAAATTAAATTTACTTACTTACGTCCTTTTCTTAGTGATATGCTGAAGTCTTCTCTTCCATTCCGATATTCAATTTTTTTCTCTCTTAAATAATATTGCGAAATCTTATCGTTCTCTAACACAATAACATGACCATAGACAATACATTTAGTAAATGTATGGTCGTCCTTGATGTTTTTTCCACCTTTTTTTAACGTGTTTAAAGCAATGGGTTACGGAACTTGTTTAAATCTTACTACATTGGTAAATTTGTGTAGAAACACCATCATAAAAATGAAAAGCATATTTTGTATTATGCACAACACGTTCCAGAACTAAAATTCCTGCTGATTAATATTTTAATAATATTATTTAGGGTGGAACTATTATTCAGAATCCATATTACCAGTATACAGACGTAGATGGGGATAATGTCAAATTTTCCCTTGACTGTGGTGCCGACACAGGTCGTTTGGACATTGATTCTTCCACAGGGCTCCTATCGTTTTCAACAGACTATGATCTAGATATAGTCGGTACAGCATCTAAGATAAACTGTAAGGTTTCTATAACTGATGATGAATATACAGATATGGCATATGTTAATATGACAATATTGGACGATAATGACAATTCACCTGTGTTTATCTATAGTGAATACACGTTTTTCATACCAGTAACTTCAAGTGTTGGGTTTTTTGTCGGACAGGTACAAGCAATTGATAATGATATTGGAAGTTATGGTAAGCCTATCATTCAATAGATTTTGGGGGTTTTTTGTTTGTCTTTTTGTTTATTTGCTTTTTTTGTTTTTTTGTCTTTTTTGTTTACTTAGGATGTTGTTCGTTTTTAAAACATAAACGCAACTGATTCAGAGGCTAAATGCCAGCTCCATTTCTTATTGCATCTTTGATGTTGTTTTTTAAGCAGTGACAAAATAGGGAATATGAAACCAAGGTAAAAATGGAAAAGAGAGGAGAAAGACACCAAAAGGACATTCAAACTCATAAATCGAAAATATACTCACAGCGCAATGGCAAAAAACGAGTAAACCACAACATAGAAAACTAAAGACTGGCAACACGAACCTACAAAAAACCGGGGGTGCTCGCAGGTGCGCCGGAAGGGTAAACTCATAAGTCGAAAATGTACTCACAGCGCCATGGCAAGTAACGAGAAAAAAAAAATAAAAAACACAACATAGAAAACTAAAGACTGAGCAACACGAACCCCACCAAAAACCGGTGGTAATCGCAGGTGCGCCGGAAGACATGTAGCAAAACAAAGTGTTTGATATAGGTTAACGCCAACAGTAGGGCAAAGGTTATCCTACTGCTGTAATACGACCCCAACAATCATTTGAATTCATGTATTCTAGAAGGATTAGCAGTTTCAACTTAACTAGTAAACCGGTCTTGTTATAATACTCGTTAATATATCTTCACAAACGTTACAGAAGTGTTTTCTTTTCATTTCTATAATAAGAGATGAGACAACGATTAATCGACCAAAAAAACCTAAAATTTTCATTGGTCTTAAGTATATATAGTAGCAGTCGGAGGAAGCTCCAGAAGCACATGTACAGAGTTATCGGAACTTGATGAGTTTTCCTTATCTTCTTGGTTTTCCCTTTATATATTTTGAAACACCCGAAGTTTACCGAAGTTTACCATTTTTAACCATACCTTTGTACAGTAAATACCTGCAATTGCAAAAATCATTTGTTGTCTCAAGTCCAACAACATATAAATTAATATTTTACATTTCTCCTTTTATTTCAGGAAATGTCCTTTACCATGTTGCACTCGAAGATTTCAACTACGGTTTGTTTGATGTAGTCGAAAATGGTTCGATATTTGTCAGCGAAAGTTTGACTCGGTATACTGAAGGTTCTACTTTGAATCTAACCATATATGCTGTGGATACAGGAGGCAGGGAGGGTCTGACGTTGGTTTATGTTGTATTTCCAACAACCTATGTGGCGCCTTTTCCTCCAGCAGATGGTATCCAGTACTTAACATTCTTCAGATATTCTCCGAACATGGCTTGGTTTGTTCCCCTGATGTTTATTCTTTTTGCCACCTTCTGTGTTGTTGCACACACACTTTATAAATCGAAGTGTTCATGTTTGAAAAAAAATGAACGGAGGTGAGTAGACGACACAATTTTATATACAAGGTACTAATCTATTGTTTATTAAGATAGATTATTATACGTCTCTAATACTGGGATTCATTATTATTCGTGGGAGACAAATTTTCGTGGATTTCGTAAGTAAAGGTGCACAACGAATTCAAATGTTCAACGAAGTACAAATTTTCCATAGGATTGTATGCAGATGTTGGCAAAACCACGAAGTTAAAATAAACACAAAAATACAATTTTTTCTCTCAATTTACGAAAATTGGTACTCACGAAAATGAATAAATCCAATATAAGTCATATGACTACGGAGCTGTGATGCCATAAGGGATAAAATCTGACAATACTTAAGCCTCTTTTTTATTCTAATGACATAATTGATTTATGAACTAAAGCCGTTTCTTTTTTTTTAAGTTATTGGCTTGTCATATCTTGTTCTCATCATGCAAATGCCCGGCTGTTAATAAGATAATTGAAGCTGTGGTATGCTTGTCAAATGAGACAGCTATTTACCAAAGACGAATCGGACAAAAATGTACACAATTAAAAAAATAACAGCCGGACTTAAACATAAATTAGATAAATGGAGAAACTTATAGAATAACTAATCGATGAGTTCAAATATAGAAGAATATGCAACGAGTGACCGAACACCTCACTCATTCACTAATGGGCGTAGCGCATGGGTTTATTATTAATGTTGTTGGGTCACGAGTTGAATAGTTTTCGATATTTTACAGCACATGGACTTGAGTGTGTAGATAATGGTAGTATCTTCGATTAGCTTGCTTGCTAGCTGAACCATGACATCAATATTACTTAGGTACTACCTTCATTTGGACGGAGTCATAGTTAAGCAGTGTGAACCAACCAAAAGTGGGGACAGTATATAAACATTGTGAAACTAGTTTTAACAAGTCAGTTTAAAAAATATATGTTTTCAATCTCAATTTCTAAATTTAAAATCTAGTGTCTATTATAAAGTAATTCACAAGCATGTTGTAGGTGTGTTTGATTTGTCAATTTCATTTCAATTAAAGTTACATGCATTTTGATTCCGAAAAACACATTCCCATATTTTGATGTGCATTTTTTTCTTCACTGCAGAAGATGGTAAAATAAAAATCTGTCATCAGTTTCACAAAAAATATTACGACTAAAAGTTGATCGTAAGTATACTGAATTGTTCATGACTTACGATCAACTTTAGCCTCAAGATTTTTTTTGAAACTGATCACAGAGACATATATAATAAGGACATGGTCGTTTTCTCTCTATTTAATCATTTTAAACTACTTCTTACAATATAGAATTACAATGTTAATAATCTAGTGTTGATTGATTGAAATGTAATTGACAAATCAAACACACCTACAACATGCTTGTGAATTAGCTTATAATTGACACCAGGTTTTAAATTAGATTGAAAACATATTTCTTTTAACTGACGTGCAAAACTGGTTTCACAATGTTCATATACTGTCTTTACTTTTAGTTGGTTCTCTGTTTAACTACTGACTCCACCTAAAGGAAGGTATGACCTTGGCTAATAATGATTTCATGATTCAGCTAGCAAGCAAGCTAACTAAAGATACTACCTTTACCTACACACTCAAGTCCATGTGCTGTAATTCTTCGATTATTTATTCTACTTATTACTCTGACCATGCACTTTTTAATGGAAATAAAGAATAAAACACAAGGAACTCGCATTCCAGTTTCTTTTTGATGCAACGTCATCGACAATGTCTTGACAGCACTCATTGTTGAATCAGATTTATTTCACTTGTGAAATTATCGGTTTTTACTTCACTGGAAAATCACGGTAAATCATTGCAAACAGTGTAATAAATACACATATTAATCCTAAATTAAAATACCAAAAAGACGTTCATCGTCATTTAGTAATTTGTAATTCACAGAATTGGACTTTTTAGACTGGTTGATAAATAATTATAGGTCTGATAAATTAGTGATACAGATTTTATCTTCACGTTTTCGCTCATGGTTTAAGTATCAAAGATCAACTTGTACGACGGTAACTATGGCTGACCATAAAAGATATCTTCTTTTTTTTCTTTTGTAGCATGCGTAAGAAGAAAAGGAAAAGACCAATGAAATCATTTCAAAGATATTGATTCGAATTAGACATTAAACTGTAACTCTGTTGTACAAATACAAATGGAAATATTCATAAATGTGATGTTTATTCAAATTAATTTAGATTTTATTTTGTCATCAGTAATATTGGCGATAACTGTGTATGCGTTATGCGTATTAAAGGTTATATAAACGGAAAAATTGACGTTTATGAACTTTCACTTTATTCGAAAAGTGCTAAATATTAACATTACTAGGGTTTTAAATTGTATTTTTTTTTCTTTGAATGTGTTTTTATTTCTAATTGCCGAAAATGTTCTAAATATGAACACTAACATTAAGTAACGGCAAACAGTGTGTTGACATGAATTATCATTGATATGGTCATATTATATAAGATAACTATTTACAAAACTTCATATTGTTCGAAATACTTAAGATTTACTACCCCGAGAATATAATATTGTACCTGTATTTGGCAAAACCTTTCGGAAATAGTTTGAGCATCAATGATGCGTCCTTTGTAGACGAAACATTATATACGTCTGGTGTCTTTGATGAGTTAGCTATATACAAATAAGAAGATGTGGTATGATTGCCAATAAGACAACTGTCTACCACAGTTTAAATGAAGAGAATTTAAGCAATTATGGGCCACCGTACGGCCTTCAACAATGAGAAAAACAGATACTGTATAGTCGGCTATAATAGGCCCCGACATGAAAAATATGAAACAATTCAATTGAGAAAACTAACGACCTAATTCATATCAAAACAATCAATGAAAAACAAATATGACAGACATGAACCAACGACAACCACTGAACTACAAAAGCAATATGAACAAAAGAGGAACTAAAGGAATATCTAAATTTATCCAAGGTCAACTTTGATTGCGGGAATTCTTTAAAGTACAATTTTATGAATCATGTAAGTACCACAGCACTGACTACTAAGTATAAGATACCTTCGGGGAGTGACAGTTCATCAGCAGTGGTATCGACCAAGTTCTAGTACATAAAAATTACACTTAATAACTTTCGTGGGTTCGAAGCACATTTCGTGTTTTAGCTTCACCAGGAATGCTCAAACCTAAACATTTGACAGCCAGGGATGTATAAATACCTAGAAACAGCCAGGGATGTATAAATACCTACAAACAATACGAACTATCTGACTAAAGGGGACTTAAAATGAATAGCAAAGTTCATCCAAAGTCAACTTTGCCTGAGGAGTTTGGAATCTTCGTTCCTTAATAATTTCTATATTCACCAACGGGTTACTTCAGATAAGTATGTTATAAATCGTTTCAGTACCTCGGGAATGAAATGATAACCTCGGGGAATAACAGTCCATCAGCTGTGGTATCGACTCACTATTAGTAAACAAAAGTGATAAGATGAGCGTAACTGACATATATAGTAACTTTTAAGTATAAATTATAGGGTCCCGTAACTCATTTCAGATTCGTCAAACTAAATCAAGTGACAAATATTTCATACATATTCAGGATGATAATAAGTTAATAACATCAAATTGTTGAGTCTGAAACCTCGATTGACAGGAATAAGGGTGCTTTGCCATAGAAAAACATCGGGAAAGAGGGTAAGGTGAAAGAAAAACATCGGGAAAGGGGGTAAGGTGAAAGAAAAACATCGGGAAAGAGGGTAAGGTGAAAGAAAAACATCGGGAAAGAGGATAAGGTGAAAGAAAAACATCGGGAAAGAGGATAAGGTGAAAGAAAAACTTCGGGAAAGAGGGTAAGGTGAAAGAAAAACATCGGGAAAGAGGATAAGGTGAAAGAAAAACATCGGGAAAGAGTGTAAGGTGAAAGTTATTATGTCATCAGTAATAGAAACTCAACAAAAATATATACACATGTATTCCCGCGATTTTCATCTTGATATACTGGAAACTATGTGAGCTGTCCCCCCCCCCCCCCCCCCCCAGGGCAACCGTGAAGGAACATGAAAACTAATGTTGGGTTTGCGGCGCTTTCTATTTCTGTTCATGGCTACATAGGGTACTTACTATTAACAGAAGGGGAAAATAATGTATCCTTTTGAATTTAAAAATACTCTTTTTGAACACCCAATTTCAGTTACGAGCATCTCCATAGTCAATTACGCCTATCCTTGAGAAATTATATATTGCAGTTACCAGTATCATAGCATATTCACGAATTGAGGGTTATCCGTAAGAATAACAAAACATTTCGCTGTGTATAATATTTTGCAGGTAAATCTTAGAATAGTGGACATTTAACGAATAACTAAATTGGTTATAAGTTGTTCTGACTTGAGGAATTAATGTTATGTTATATTCACAATTTTCTGCGTCTTCCATGTTGAGATGTTTATAACTTAAAATACAAACATCCGCTTTCCCGGCGATTTGTAGGAGTAAGATCCGCAATGACAACAGCGGTCTTTGATACATGCTGGTACGCGTATATAACTAGTTTAAATGTACTCACTGAAAGTAGAATTAAAGGTATCATAAGGAAGGGGAAATGCATGAAACCAGTCACGGATATAAGATATGAATTTTAATTATAAAATTTATGAAATTCTTGCTTTTATTGAGAAAAGAAATGAAGGCTTGGTCATAAAGTAATCAAGTAGTCCCAAGTCAGGAGCCTGTAGTTCCGGGGTTGTCGTTGGTTCATGTCTGTCATATTTGTATTTCGTAAATTGTTTTGTTATATATTAGGCTGTTAATTTTCTTTATTGAATTGTTTCATGTTTTCCATGTCGGGGCCTTTTATAGCCAACTAACCGGTATGGGTTTTTCTCATTGTTGAAGGTCTTACGGTTGCCTATAATTGCTTACATCCACTTCATTTGAACTTTGATGGATAGCTATATCATTGGCAATCATACCACATCTCCTTATTCTTGTATCTCTCATATACGTTGTAGCTGTCTTTTGATGTGATAAACGAAAACTGTACCCCATAGAGTAAACTATAAATTAAGTTAAGTCACTTCCAACTGACTTTTATAGTTTTTTCTTATGTTGTGCTGATACACCACGGTATCAGGTTTGGGAGAGGGATGAGCTCTCAAAAACATGTTAACCCCACCACATTCAATATGTGTCTGTCCCATGTCGGGTGCCTGTAATTATATAAAAAAGACTTGCTTATTTTCTACTTCAATTTCATAACAATGGTATACATAGTGCCACGGTTGTACTGTAATAATTGTTGACTTTTGATATCAGTTGTTACTATACAACTATTGACTTTTGATGAGGTTGATACAATGACTTATCAGCCCCAGAGAGATGAAATTCACCGAGGCCAACGGCCGAGGGTGAATGTCATCTCTGGGGTTGATAAATATAGATTCTACCACTGCATCGAGTGTGATACGATATTTATCCACTCGAGACAGTTAAATTTTCAAATTTAAAACGCGGGGCTCGCCGAGCGTTTTAAATATTTAAAATTTAACTGTCGAGAGTGGATAAATATCGTATTACACGAGATTTGGTGGTGGAATCTGTTTCTCTAATGATTTTCAAACAATACGCAGGCAAATTTATTCCTTCTTTTCGAATGATCTGCAAAAAGATGTGTTCTTTCTATGTGACGTCATCAGGCATGGTCGCCTTTTTTCATGCCGTCACAATAGGAAATTCAGAGGAAAGCAAGAAAATTCGACGTCATAATCGGATTTTAGCCAATGAAGAACTGAGATCAAACGAACCACACGTTGATTAAATCTTTTTTATACAATGGGTGCAGAAAGGGATAAATTGACGAAGAATTAGAGAAATCATTGTATCAACTGATATCAAAATTCAACAATTGTTTTATTATATGACTTTTTGTCCTTCTCCAATTTTCTTGTATTTGCTCAAGATACTTTTAAAACTGCTCCCTGTTTTTATACTAAATATATCATCTGCTTTCGCAGTTGCTAACTTTCATAAGTTGAAACAGTCAATAAAGTTTACTAAAAAAAATATACCGAAAACAAGAAGAAGAGGAAAAAATCACCGAAAACAAGAAGAAAAAGAAAAAACGAGAATTTCCACGACGTCGTAAACCTGCGTCTTGACGTTGTGCATTGGAATATCTATATTTAGGTACATGGACGCTGTTCCAAATCGTATATTAACCTCTCGTGATTTTTTCCGCGGTGAATATAAATGGTACGTTTTCAGTGAAAAACATAACAAAGTAGGGTACAAAACAAATATAAGAAAACAGGAAAATATAATATGTAAAATGCAAAACAAATGATACAATAAATGCCTTTTTCAAAGTTTCCAGCATAATTCAGCAACTTACTTTACAAATGTTGACATTTCCAAACAGTTTTCATTATGTTTTGTTGATTTTTTTTATCTTCAGTATAAAAATATATCATACTGGGGCGTGTTTTATTGGTCTCTTCTGTACATCTCCAGCATGTCTTCTGGTGAAGAGTAAAAAAAAAATGAATCTGGATCTCTTCTGGAGATATTCTGTAGAAGAAGCAATAGAACAAAAATTCAATTTGCCGTCGAATATAGCAGATTTTTTTTTATATGTTGGATGACAATCACATAAATGAAGTTTAAGATGATTTATTTAGAAAATACGTCACTTCAGTCGGTAGACATGACTGTAATAGTGTTCTCTGTTTTGGCATTGATGTACTTATACAAAAAGTGTAAAAACAAAGAAAATTAGTTGGAAGAAATCGGCCGTGTTGGTCACATTTTTTCTTTATGCTTTCCTAACTCAATTTGGGTAAACAAATCCGGCTTAAAGCTCCGACCATTTAATTTTCAGGAATAATCTTAAACTGTACAAAAATTTGTCAATGTTTGTCTGGTATATACTCGAAAAGGACATCTTGTCTATCAAACATTTTTGAAGTAACCAAACTGGATTATTTTTGTATATAAAAGATATCGCAGAGTTTTCAAAATCGTTTTTCCCTGGTGGTCCTTGAGGAAAATCTGCTAGTCCTAACTCTCGATGGTCAAACCCTTCAGACCACCACAAGGTATACAAAGTCACGGCGTTTCTCATACTGTTTATGACATAATCCGTTGGTTGTATACTGATTGATACTTTAGTCTGGGAGATCAAGATTTATTTCAGTGTTAATTGTAATTATAGCTTTGAACAAACTGTAATTTACTGCAAATACTCTTATTTCGGTGCTTTGTGTCTAGTTGTTTTTTGTGTCGCGTACCGATCT